TACTAGCTTTGTCAGCACGCCACTGTGTAGCCACTGTGTAATTTCTGTTTTTCCTGTTATCAAATTAAAAGTATAAACTGAACAATGTGTATGCCACAGTCATAAGATTCAATTAAGGGGGCTTTCACACCAACATCTACACTAAAATGAAATACAAGCCACAGGTCCAGCTTGAAGGCTTATAGATTTCGCACTTGTCTTAGCTCATCGCCACTTTAATAATGAACATCTCCAAAGAGGAGCTCCCACAATATAGATGATGACAAGCAGTTGATGAAGATACATGGAATAAATGCATGACGATGTGCCAAAAAGGTTGCCAGCAGAGCGTGGAGTGGAAAGATGACAGGGACAAAGGTCCTTGGCATGAAAACCTATGTGTGGCAATAAACGCTCAAACGCATATCGTTGAGGATCTAGCAACAGAGGCCTGAAGTGTCTGTTGGCTGTGGGATTTCAGGCATCATTTCACAGATACATAGCCAAGAAATCAAGCATACGCCACAGAGAGAAAAAGCCAGGCAAGGGGGACAGCCATGTTGACCCTGGGCCTCCTTCCTGGAGATCACCCTCTCGCTCTACTAATGTCCTTTCGCTTCCTCACTTTCCATTTTAAGGACACTTTTCTCCACTTCCCATCTTTCCCCTTGCCTCCTAATCATTCTTTCTTTTCTCTCCATCTCACCCATCCAGCTCACTCTCACCCACCCAGCTCTCACTCTCTCACACACACACACACACACACACACACACACACACACACACACACACACACACACACACACACACACCTCCCAGCTCCCTGCCTACAGCCTGAGGAAAGTGGAAACCAGTGACAGTGAAGTGTATCAGCCCAGGAACAATGTGCAGGGGCTGTTTTGTAAGGCTAGCCAAGGAGATTGGGGAGGGGACTCCATTATCACTGACCAGCACCGTAGAATGAAAAGAGCTGCCCGAACAGTACCACAGCAGCACTGTTGGACTGGATCACTGAGTTTGTCAATATCCAGTCTGGTAGCAGTTTCACAGGGTACAAAACATTGTGGTCTCAAATGTGGAATTCATTACAAGTCTCCATTATGAGAAAAAAAAAACAGGTGTTTCAGTGACACTATTACAGTAGTCAATCAGGCAGTAGTCTCTGCCATCCTGAGTTCTCCATACTTGTTATGCCTTTCCTGAATATCAAAAAAACTACTTTTTAATGTCATGAGTGTGATGAAATATGAAAACAGACCCTAGACTAATTACAATCGAGTTCCACAACAAACCAATGTTGAGGGTGTGGGTATGTGTGCCCACACCCTCTCATGATTCTCCCTCAGCTGACACCAAAGGGAAAAACCAGAATAGACGTTCAACAAGGAAATACAAAGAAATACTGTGACATGCACCGTTAGTCGACGCCCTCAGCGGCCACAACATTAACCTCACCTGTAAAATATAGAGGCCAGGTGGCAAAGCCTGACTCAGGTCTACAGCTGCCAATATAAGACACTGTGTCCACAAGGAAGGACTGATGGTATGTCAGAGAATGTTGACACTAAAGCCCAGAACAGAGTGAAATCACTCGACGCCCCCCACTCTGTCATGACCAATGACAGCCACTTCCTGCCCCCTCTCCCAACCCCTGATTCTTGGGTAATTTAACCTGTACATCCACAGACAGGATTGCAACTGGAGCTGACTGACATCACCCAACCATTCTCACACAAGCATGGTGAAAATCATCTTGTAGAGGAAGACAAAAGATAATTAACTTCAAGATGAAAGACTTTGTCAGCTTTCAAGATTTACTGACTGACAATTTTCATTAACCTTGACTATACAAATCCAGGCAAAAGTAAATGAGAGTCAGCCACTGTGCTTGACTTATGACAGTGCCCGGGCCAGCTTGTCTTGTTGCTGGTATGTGGCACTAAGCAAAACAAACATGTCGGCATGACAGTTTCCTCTTATTTCTAAAACACAAAGTCCTCAAAAAGTAAACATGTCTGATCCAAATGCCCAGAGTCTGGAAAAAGCCATTGCTGACTACTGTTCTACATCACTGGTGTACCAGAGGTCACACTGGCCATTTGATCTTAGAGATCACAGAGCGACAGGACAACAAAAAACTGACTCAGCTTGTTCCTTTTATATCGTTATATCCAAAGTTTAGTGACTTGTGGAAAGTCTTCCTGTTGGTATCTGCAGTGCAAAAGACAGAGGGTCTGATTAAGGTAGTCTGTGTCACCTAATTTTATAACACCCTAAAACTGGCATCTGTCCAAAAGCCTGCTTTACGCAACAAATGGAAAAGTGCACACAGGTGTAAAAGCAGAGCTCTAAGCACCCTTGTTGCCACAATGAGATATAGTGTTTTTTTCATGAAAAGATGAAGGAGTGAGACCAAAACCAGGACCAAGTCCTTAAAAAAAGAGGGGACAGATATGAGCTTAACAGTTGAACACCCTCTTTAGATGCATTTCGTGTTTCTAGATTACACAACAGCCCTGTGCCAGATAGTATAACACGAGTGACAGAATTGGACATACTATAAATAAGAGCTCAACTCTGACTGAGCTCTTATCTTGATTATTAGTGGAACAAGAGTCTCCATATTATCAAATCAAATGGTGTGTGGTAGTGGTATAAAAAAGGGTCTGAATTTGTACGCTACAAACTAAGAAAGTAACCTGCTATATTCAATACAAAAACAGAGAGGAAAGAAAGAACATGATTTCTTGTTTAACATACTTGAGAGCCATTCATCACACAGGACACTTTTTGTGAAGCTAAATTGTCACTTTTGCTATCAAATATCAAAACCTTTGTCAAGAACTGAAAAAAGTACTAAACCCACAGTCTATGTTTTGAATATCAAACATGGTGGGTAGGCTTACATTTTTTTTTTAAGTTCATAGTTTGCTCTTAAACACAGAGATGCAGTTTTGGCCATCAGATTCCAATGCTGTTTTTATTGCATAAAAAAAGTACTAAATCTAAATGCTTGGTAGGTTCACATACCCATATGTTCAGTGAGAATCTGACACTCAATGATACATTTTGTGAGAAGTATCACAAAGTATGATCCAAGAATGTCATGAAGCCAATTTGCATTGTATTCAAAATCATCCCATGTCCCAGTGGACGAATGACAGGGCTTCCAAAAATTCATTCAGTGATCTGGATTGAGTGCTGAAACTAAACATGAGTGACAAGATGAGATGAACTCAGTATCATGTGCGGTGCTTGTAGTTTTTCCCCACCCAAAACAGTTGCATGTGAAGTGGAGGTTTCAGCATTGATATTTTGTCTCACAGACACAATACTGCTCATTTTTCAATGGCTTTCAATCAAAGACCCAAAGCAGTACATTTCTGTTAGCATCCGGCCATTGTTACAACTGCAGCGGCAGATCATTTTATAGAAAATCAAAGGAGTTATGACCTTCAACACTTGTGCATCTGATTAAGATGTCAAAGTAAGGGATTACAACATTAATCTCAATATTTCCTGAAATCCATCTGAATGGGTGTATCCACACATGTGATCTGCTTAGTGATGCAGTTAAAGACAAATAGATCATTTGCACTGAGTAGCAGCAGAACGACCATCGTTAAAAAATAAACGACTGATATAATGCTTGACCTACAGGAAAGATTGTAAAGTAAAAATCAAGCAGCTGGATAACTCAATATTGGCTTCAACAATATGTATTTCTGGGAAAATCCAAATGCATTCTAAGGAGTAAAACAACAGCACAAAACCCTCAACTTTCATGTAAACTAAGCCCAGTGCGATCCCCCCCATCTGGCTTGCACCTCGTTTAATAACAAAGCGATGCCTGCGCGTGTTTCTCTCTCGAAGGGGGTGGGGATGAATGAATGATGGGGGCTGTTGATGCGTGATGTTGACCTTACCAATTTCTTTAAAGTGCAATCATTTTTCGAAAGACGGAACAATCTCCATTAACTCTGATGTAACACGTGAATAGATGTATGTTGAAATGAGCTGTTATGTAAACTATGAATACATTTCAAAGAGCAAAGAGGTCGAATGATAAAGTTGATTTATGGATTCATGGTGAAATAAACTCAGTTTATTCGGCTATAGTACGAAGCGCGAGTGGTTGATTTTACCTCTCTAACTTCTTTTAGCCAAGTGATATCGGAAACGAACGTTTGAATCATCGCTTCTTGTAACAAAACGGGACTTGGGCGAACAAACAATGCCTGAACAGCATCTGCGTCCCTATGGCTACCCAAGCCAGATGGCTTGCAACTCCAAGACAATAAACTCGAACCTCACGCCATGAACTTAACTTTACCTGACAGAAAAGAAACACAAATACAGCAGCAAAGTGCATCCAGTAAGTCCAGTCCAGAATTCCAGTTAGTGCGCGACTTTTCACTCTCCACACACATTTATACGGTCGCATAAATATGAACTAAATCAGGTTACCCTGTAAATATCCACAAGTTTCGCATCTTTTTGTCACTTTTCCCCTCGATCATAATGTTGTATTTTATCTCATTTACTTTTTGTTTAAACGACCACAACTAAGGTAGCTCTTCAACTCAAACATGAGGCTCTGTCCAAATGAAAACAAACGGACGGCACATGGTTCTGTTCATCTTAAGTTACTCAGCATCCTCAGATAATGAAAAACCCTTAACGTTACTATGTACATCGGACAATAAAACCATATCATCAGTGTTCGATTCAGCTGAGCTCTCTTACGACATTTTCCCTCAACTTTAATGACCAGCAATTAGCTAATAAAGCTAGCTTTTAGCTGTGCTAACGAGCTGGCTAGCACGTTACCTAACAGGATTGCCTTAGTAACGTTAACGTATGAGAAGTTCAGAGAACACTGCTAAGCTGGTTAATCAAACAGCTAGTTAAACAAAAAGCGCTCGACACATCACGTAGACAAAAAAGCTGACACAAACAACTTTTCATTTCCGTAATGAAAGACATTCATGTTACTGAAAGCAACCATAATTTTAATTTACCTCTATTTCAAAGTCTGGAAGGTTGAACGCTGTCCTGAACAGCGAGCAGAAGTGGGCTATGGCGGGGACTTCCCACCAAGACTGGATCTCTTCCACAGAAACTGTACATCCCTGGGACATTTTCGGACTGGAGAAATTGTGTGACGTTTGTTTCTCACATTAGAAAGTAGTTTCTTCAGCGACTTATAATATCTCCTTAACATTACAAATACGACAAAACTTGCTGCTGCCGTTCTGTCCGGACAGTTGCCATTGCGACCCGGGGAGCGCTACAATCTGTTTCAATCAGTCTCACCGGAGCTGAACAGATGGGGAGGGCGATACCACCCCGCGACGACGAGAGGGGAGCGATTACTTAGCTCTATATGTTAAACTACATGTGAGCATAAGAAGACTTTACAGTGTCGAGCCTGTTTATCTCTTAAGAGAATAAACTGCAATTGAGGAGCATGTTTGCAATCAGATTGGTCTGGTCATTATAATAACAAAAACCTATAGTCAGCAATACCCCGCCGGGTTGATAGTGCGGTGGCCGTTTAAAGGGAATGCTTGTGAATGGTGAATGAATAAACAATTAAAAGGTGGATCCAGGTATGAGTCAGATAACTTCTTTGAAGTTACACCAGTGTGCTTTTACTGTTCTGATTTTAGTTTTCTGCCATATGGCATATTTTGCTACATTTTCAATTTCCAATATTGTCAATTTCCTGTGATTTATGTTTTTAAAACCGCCCTTTTCATATACTTACAACAACAAGTTTTCAAACAATCCTAAATTCTAAAGGTTCGTTCCTCTGATCATTGTTGGGTACAACAAACTTGTCAGGTACATTTCTTATTTTGTAAACAGCCTTGCGAATGTTTTGGGCAATACACTACACCGGGGCTCCCCCCATCGCAATATGTGAAAAGTGCATGCTGTTAGACAGCGGTAGTGCCAAGGGACAGCGAGTGACAAGGGCTAGTGTTAAGAGTTAGATACTCATGCACATATCTCCTATTATGTCCTATTTGAAAACTGTCAGACCTGACACTTGTGTTTCTGATGCTGATTTCGGTGTTCGTCATGGGGATTAAAAAAGCTGACATCATTAGTTTGTACTGGTTAAGACCAGATTTCAGAGAAGAAAAAAATAATAGTGAATGATCCCTGGATAGCTACATGCCCATCCCTCCACCAAGTTCGTTGCGAATCGGTTCAGTAGTTTATATTTTACGTAATCCTGCTGTCAATTAAACAGACATGAGTAAAATCATCCTTGGTGGAAGTAATAAGGCAATCAACCATCAGTAAAAGAAAAAAAGTGACTTTTTTCTTTAAAAAGCTGTTCCTCACATAGTAATAGGTATAATACAGGAGTTAAAATCCCAAACTTAAAGCCCATTCAAGGGACCGCATAGAGGCTGCAGATTTATTACACCATGTATTTGCTCTTACCCAATAGTTGTGAAAAAAATTTAAGGTTTGCCCTGAGGGTGGCACTAGAGGAAAGGTAATAGTCTCCTTATAATCAAAAGCTTCAATGGCATGAAACTACATTATTAGATTTAGGTATTTAGAGTGCAAGTTGACATTTTGGCCTAAAGGTGGTGCAGGAGGGACGCTCATGAATTCTCAGAGACCATCTTAAATTAGGGGCAAATGTACATCATATACTAATATATAATATATACAGTATACTGAGGCTATATGTTATACTCTGCTATATTTATTGTAGTGTGTGCTGAGTAACTGAGTAAGAACAATTCAACTTGATAGGGCTAATAGGGCTAAATAGTGGATAAACTGACTGCGATGCAACCCATGTGTAAAAAAGGCCTGGGAGTGTACAGATTTTCACTAAGACTTAAGACTACTGCACATGACTTTACTCATTTGTTAGTCCCACTGATCTGGATGACCATGTGATAATGTGATAATAAATTACATTTGATTGGCCTTCCAAGCTGTATAGTGCTATAAGGTGACAGCAGCTGTCAGTGGGGCAGGGCATTAGTGGTCAGCCACCACAGTGCTGTCAGTATAGTGACAGCTCTCTCTCTGGGTCATCAGTCCCAGGTTAGTGATTGTTGCTAGGCGACAGAGCAATCTGGTAACTTCTTAAGCTTAATGGTTCATTTTAAAACTCAAAGTATTGCATTTCAAACCATGAAGAGTGAGCTGGGAGGAAATTCTGGGATTCAGGAAGGTTGTTAAGAGTATACTGTATCTTTAAATACAAGCTTGTCTTAACCCTGTTTTGCGTCCTCAGATCCCCATTAACTTTACAGAGAAGGCTCCATATTGCATGTAATTACTCATTAATCAATTTGATTACTTCGGTTTATTCTCATTTAAGATCATGGAGTTGATCTTATTATTAGTCACTGTAACCCTGGCAATGCTGGTGGCATGTCCTGGCCAGTGAACTACAAAACCCTAAAGAGGAGCTGTCCAATTGGATCATTAGTACAAACTGGAGTGGCAAAAAGAGCTGTGGTTAAGCCTTTCTGTGAATGTAATTAACTGTCTATCTTTATGGAGTGTGAAGAATACAAGGAACCACTCTGGTCTGATTGCCAGTCATTTCAACTGATAATTACCCAGAATTTTTTTCAGCTGACTTGACTTTAGAGTTTGAGAGAAATCCAAACAGTAGGCATACATTTATTCAAATAGTGGTCCTCAATACAATTTTGAACTTTATATGTTTATATGTGTTTGTATATCTGTGTTATTCTACTTTAAGTACATTCTTCTGATGATACTTAAAGTATGTACTTAGTTATATTCTGTCTACCTGTTATGTTTTTTATTATATACCAGTTCTGGAGCCACATTTTTCCTGTTACAATAAAACTGACAATTGTTTCCTCACTTGGCATATTTCAGTGTGCTAAGATACTATATAATGAGAGGATATAACTAATATCTCATATTAATGTGTATTGCAGAAGACTTTTGTTTGTTTGACATTATGTTATATGCATTTATACATTTATATACATTTCATAGAGTCAAAGTTTATTCCTATATATTTTTATAATCTACACACCTTATCATTTTATACTCTAATAAAGTTTTCTTGCATTCATCCCCAGTCCAAATGTTAAGAATAGTCATCTGTTGCAAAAGAGTAATTATTACACATTGAGTCAGCATGTTGGCCACAAGCAGTTTTGGATTTTCATCACAGATAATCTTCTTTTTTAACAGTGTATAGCAAAACTACATTTTAAATGTTATTAGAAAAGTGAATGAATGAATGAAAAATTAATGTCTTCAATGAAAGATTTTCACTGCTGATGAGTGAAACAGTCACTGATAGAAATGTTTTTCCATTAGCAGGAATCAATACATCAATCAATGCTCATTAAAAAAAATAGTGTAGGGGCAATGAACACTTGCTGTGGTGGTCACATGTTCTCATTGTTGATGTCCTTACATAACTTTTTTTGTCCTTTAAGTATCTTCTTTTACATATACTTTGCAATTGTAAAATGTCCCAAACAGTGATAACCATACCGGTTTATCACTGTTACCTTAGTAGTAATTGTAAATCTGTGAACATTTGTGGTATTCAGGGTGTCCTGAGGTATTATGTAATACCAGGGCTGTTGAATAGAGAGCTCATTAGGGATGGGCAGCCTTTTTTGTTTCTATTCATGTTTTCTACATATCATTAAAACAATACACACTGACTTATAATTGTTGGTATTTGTCTCTGCTGTGTCTGTTGCATGTGTTGTGGAAGCAGCTCCACAGGCATGAGTTTATGTCGAGTTGTGTTAGTGCAGAGCAGTGTTGCTGTGGCTGTGTCACACAGGGAGTCACCACGAGAGGGAGGGACCACGAGAGGCAGCAGGACAATGCTGGTGTTTGTGCAACGGCCCCTGAGTGGCGGCTGGCTCTCTCATATCGCTCTCGCTTGACTACCATTGCTGCACGCATTGTTGAAGTGAAAGGAAAGTGGACAGCTTGATCCTGTCTGTGGGATGCACCGACAGAGGTAAGACCCCTGTTCCCTACTGCTATGTCTGTGTAATGGAAGAAAATGAAGTTTTTTTTTTTAAAGCTGTCTCGTGGGGCTGTGCTGTGTGAACTGTGTGAGCGGGGTGTTCTAGTGCAATTTGGGGTTGGCTTGGGGTGAGGCACCCTTGTCAGTGTTTTGGCAGGGTCACTAGTGTATGTGAATGGAGCTGAGCTGAAAGAAAGTTTCACAGAAAGAGGCTCAGCGAAAGGCATGTGTAGAATATGTGACTAGGATCGAGCATCGGAAAAGACAGAGCTTGAAGTGGGACATAGAAGAAATATTTGGAGATGAAAAGTTGGAATGGTGATGGAAAAAAGACATCAAACGATACAAATCAAATAGAGGATGAGCAAAGCAAAAAGTGATTGTTTCCGCTACTCTCACCAGAGAAGACAGGCGAGGATAGAGTGAAGGTTTACAGTGGTAAAAATAGAGACAGAATGGAGGGGGAGAGATTAAGAGAGAGATTAATTAGGGAGCTGAGGGAAGGGGGAAGTCAGGAAGGGAAAAGGCAGGGAAAGAATTGAAGAAACTGAGACCCTATAGTAAAGGAACGGACAAGCTGTGAACCCGAGATAAGGTTTCAACAGCATTTGTAAAACCTATAATGCACAAATCTTAGGCTAGACCCCCAGTTATTGTACTCCAACAAAGAAAAAGAAAGAAAAAAAACTTGTCAAACAAATTTACCAACCTCCATTCAAATCTTCTTTTCAGTCCTTTGTAAATGCTGGATTCCAAATGCAGAAAAAAGAATACCAGTAAGCCACTCATTTCTAGTTCTGCCCTCCTTCCTAGATCAAATACTCTTATCCCTTTTAGCTGGCAGATTAGAGAGACTCAAGATGTTCTGTCTCTGTGTGGTAGTCCTGGGATATGCCTCTATTCACATTTATGAATGACTAAGTCTGGATTTTATAGACCCTTATAGTCAATGTGAAATGTGTCATTCTTCCATCACAACCACTATCTTATAAAGCCATCACAAATGTATATTCAACAAGGCTTTGAGAGAAAAAAAACAACCTATGTGTAATATAGGATAGAGACACACTGGTGTCACTTGCACTCTACTTTAGAAGTATTTAATCCACATTAACTGCATGTGTTTTGTTTTTCCAGGAAGTGGGAGAGTACTTGGTTTTTGGTGTGAGGTACAACAAAGCAGAAAGGCTGGCCAGAAGACACAAATCCAACAGCGGTGGTTTTTTGGCCACAACAGAAAAAAGTGCGTCCACCCCTGCCATATCAGGGAGAAGAAGGCGTTTCACTGCTGCCGCATTTCAAGAAACAGTGAGCTCCATTTGTGGCGTGGGTGGGCAGGTGAGGGTTAAGCTGTGGTGACAACTTTGGGCTGCGTGCCGAAGTGTGGTGGGGAAGAGGAAAAGGAAGAGGAAGGAGAGAAGGAGAAGCAGGCGGAGGAGGAGGAAGAGGAGGAGAGGAGTAGTGGACCTGGGCCTGGAGCCCAAACACGAGCAGGATGGCGGAGAAGAAAGTTAGGTATGTGTGTTCGTCACGTTTGTTTTGCTAAGTGATGATGAATTCACCAAGCTGAAGCAGCAGCTGGCTTAATGTTAGTGCTTTACATTCTCTGTGTGTGTGCATGTGCGTATTTGTGTCTGTGTGCATTTTTGACTATGAATGGATGTGTCATTTGCATGGCTTGTGTCGGTGACTACGTGTAAATGGGTCTGTGCATGCGTGTGTGCGTGTGTCTATGTTGATCCCTTTGCAGCCTCCCTGCTAAGCTGATTAATGGGGGCGTGGCAGGCCTGGTTGGTGTGACATGTGTATTTCCTATTGACCTGGCCAAGACCCGCCTACAGAACCAGCAGGGCGTCCAAGTCTACAAAGGAATGTGAGTAGGACTCCCCTCAAGTTTACCCACTACTGTTATTGATCTGCAACATACAAAGACAGGACTTTCACATTAGTGCAATCTTTTTTACTTTAGCATCACCAAATGATGCTTTTTAAATTCTTGTTGTTAATCTTTATCTTTAAGGTTGGGGAAGGGCTGCTGACGATCATTTGCATGCAAATATGTGCAAAAACAATGTCAAAACCTTTTCAAAATATCCAAATCCCTCTGGTGGTAAATGGTTTCTCATGTACTCTGGTTAACAGCACTCTCTAATTTCAGCTACACACAAGATAATATTATTTAGATTACCATATCTCACATACTTTTCCACTGAATCTCAGAGGGCAAAGGAACACAGCTGAACACTCTTCCCATATTTGGACCAGAGTTTTGGTGAGACTGTACAAAACTCACTCGTGGGATGATATTAGGGGAATGGCTGTATAGAGTTTGTTTTTATGGACTAACAGTTCAGTTAGATCAGTTTGTGATTTAATTTAATACTGGAAACAAAATCAAGAGATGCAGAGAAAAACAAATTCTGTGTCCTTAAAAGACACTCTGACCCTGAATGTTTGACTGCACACATCTGGTGGGCATGAATACTACTGGCGGACTGGGTGTGGCCATCCTGTGTTTAGCAGACTGCAGTTTTCCACTATGAGTCAGAGATGGAAAATTAGCTCGGATAACTTATTCTCCTCAAAGACCAAATTTGAGGTTGGATGGTTTTTTTTTCTTTGCAAAGAAAAAAGAGAGTTTCAACATAACTGTTAACACAGTTTGTCGTTGGGAGTGGATAGAGGGTCATGGTGTGTTTGGGTAAAGGCCAGGCCAGTGATGATGGTGATGATGACAAATGAGGCATAATACTACTGATTTGACTTAAATATATGTCAGTAGAGTTAATGGTGAAAGACTAAACCATTGTTATGTTGTATTTCAAGAAGATACAAAAACAGACAAAACATCTGTTGTTTTCTTTTTGTCTTTAAAGGCTGGACTGTCTGGCAAAGACGGTACGCTCGGAGGGCTATTTTGGATGCTACAGAGGTATTCTTTGCATTTCTAATCCCTGTGACAAGCGATGCTACAACTGTGCTTTACTATAAGCTTAATCTGACCACCTACGCTGTTGCTTGCACCATGAGCTCTCAGTCTTTTCATCATAATAACTAGTGTCTGCTGCCATTAGCCCCCGGTGGTGAGCCATAAGCTCCTGTGTAGGTCTGTTCTATTTGTGTACCTTAGTGGAAACTGCTGTGTGTCATCAGCCTGTTTGTCTTCTGCAGGTGCAGCAGTGAACCTCACGCTTGTTACACCAGAAAAAGCCATCAAGCTCGCGGCCAATGACGTCTTCAGACAGAAGCTCTCTAAAGATGGGTAACTTACCCTCACTCATCCATCACACGATGAATAGACATCAAGATAATCCCATAATACAGAATAGGTCTAAATGAAACCCAACATCCCCTTATATATATTACATTTCAGAGGATACTAGAGTTCAAAAACAAAGGACATGCTGTTAACTGCTGTTAAACAACTGGGAGAAAAAGACAATTCTTAATTTGGGATTCTTTAAGATATTATATGAATTAATGTTGCTGTTGTATTGTATTGTTGTGCAACAATTTCCTACACTTGTTTAGTTGCTCTGATAATTCTGGACACACTACTGTTGTTGTGTCCTGTTGTTCATAGTCTATATCTGTTACTGACACTGTGTTTCCAGGCGTTTGCCCCTGTGGGGGGAAGTGCTGGCAGGCTGTGGGGCTGGGACCTGTCAGGTGGTCGTCACCACTCCTATGGAAATGCTTAAGATCCAGCTGCAGGACGCAGGACGGCTCGGTGAGGATTGTGGAACACTTTTTTTTTTATTTGATATGAGTTTAGTCATATAACGTGTTTCTCAATAAATAAGCCACAGTTCCTCTTGACTTTTCTGTACAATGTAATGTAAATGTTTCTTAATAAAGTACAGAACCAAATTGCTGGCAGCCCCTCCTTTGTTCAGTAACATAAAGCACATGTGGTGACAGCTGCAGGGTTACATTAGTCTGTATGTGTTTTCTAACCTGGGACAGTCTGTGTTTATCCATTAGCTGCACAAAGGCCCATGCCAACTGCAGCTCAGGCTGCTGCTCCTGGTCCAGCTCCATCGTTGGTGGCCCCTCCATCAGAAGCCCGGCCGACCCCTCCACAACGGCCCTCGGCCACCAGCATCACTGTGGAGCTGCTGAAGACCCGTGGACTGGCTGGCCTCTACAGGGGGGCAGGGGCCACCTTAATGAGGTCATACATACAAGATATAAACACCCCCCCCCACCCCCCCACGCTTACTCAAAATACATGCAAATTGTTTTCTCCTTTTTTCTTTTAATGTATATTTTGGCACTATTTTACAACTAAAGTGAAAAGCCAGACTGAGAGTCTGTCATTTTCCATAATTCCAGACAGTTTTGAACTATTCCACACCTGCTTCTTCCACAGTTTGTTTCTGGTGTCCATTCTATTTCACTTTCACTTGTTGTCACTGGTATCCCTAAGTCCATGACAATTAGTTTTCTATACTTTGCTCTTATATTGGAAACTATCGACTGGATGCCTCTGTTCAGTGGTTAGTGTTCTCCAGCTCCACTCTATCATCACTTCTTTAATGAGTTGATTTTAGATTGCATAATTCATGCTGCAGTTGTTGTATTTCCTGACACCTCTGACAATCAACACTGATCAATAGATTCCTGCAGCTATGTCTGGCTGCTGTACTGCAGTTGAATGAGGCCATGTCTCCCTTCCTCTCACATGTGACATCACCCTCTCCCTCTTTTTCACCACAAATTCTCAGGCTATCCAATTTCTTTCTCCTTACCCTAAACTGTACTTCAGCCTTTCTCCCGGGTTCCTTCCTGTCCATCTAATTTAATCTAACCATTTTTTTTTAAATCAGGGATGTCCCCTTCTCAATGATCTACTTCCCGCTGTTTGCGAACCTCAACGCACTGGGTCTGGAAAGAGCAGGTGGTCAGGGTGATGTGCAGGCCCGGGCGCCATTCTGGCAGTCTTTTGTGGCAGGCTGCGCCGCAGGCTCAGTGGCAGCTGTGGCTGTAACACCACTGGATGGTGAGTGGGAGAAAGAAACAGAAATGGAGGGTAGGGGTGCTAAAGTCTTTCCTACTCACAAAGACAGCAGGTGTATGCACCTACCCAGTGTTGCAGTGTTGCAGTGTTGCTTCATTACAATTTCCAAAACAAACCTCCATTTAATGTTATATTTTAAAGTGAGACTATGTAACTTTTGAAAGATTACATAACAAAATCTTCTTATTACAATTGAAAAGTTGAATTCATAAGCAATAAAATGCATCCTCACCCAATTCAATATACAGCCTCATTTGGTCTGGTATGACCAGTAGCTTCTCATTGCTAAGACTAGCTAATTTTAGCAAATGTTAGCGAGTTCTATAGACATTGGTTGTGTTTGAAATCATGTCCTCCTTCACTCATTCATTTCTTCATATGTAACAGATACTCCTAGTTTAGTTAATAGTTAGCAATAAATAAAGGACTGAAGTGTCTAAAGGATTTTGAACTAATCATCATTATGTTACATCCTCATTGATAGCTGTGTCTATAGATGAACTCTGACACTCCATATAGGGCAGGGAGTAAATAGGGAGGGGTTTCAGACACAGCCATTGTGTTTAACGGATATTACTGAGTTTTTGACTTCTCTACTTGTGCTACTATGTTAGCATTTACAATTATTCTGTGCTTGTGATTTGTGGCCACAGTGGCTGCTGTCTGCTTTAACTGACACTAAGTCATCTTTCAGTTTAAGCAATGATGGTGCTTCCTTCTTTTAAATACCCATACAGTAATAAAGACTCGTCTGCAGACCTTGCAAAAAGGAGAGGGGGAGGACACATACAGAGGAATTATTGACTGCACAAGGTACGACTGGATGCTATAATAAAATATTTGCTGCCCTAATATTTGCAAGTGTAAAGGCCCGAGTAACAACTGCTTGTCTCAACTACCCTCCCATTGTCCTCTCTGTATACTTTTGCAGGCGCATCATGAGGCGAGAGGGCCCATCAGCATTCCTAAAGGGTGCGACATGTCGTGCTTTAGTCATTGCTCCTCTTTTTGGCATTGCGCAGGGTGTCTACTTTCTTGGGGTAGGGGAGATGGTGCTGGGTTTGCTGGGATAGCGGTGCTTGGCATTAGTGCTGGCAGTTGTGTTATCTCTGCACACATAACTTGCCACTTTAATCTGCGTTGAATGCATGACACCACTGGGTGAACGGTGAATAAAGAGAGAGAGGGAGAAGGCAGCCATGATCTGCTAACCAAAGGAGGAAGAATGGTCCGAGATTGGAAGAGGCTCTATTTACTAATATGTGGACCAACTGGTTCACACTAATCAACTTTCTCTAGGTTTTCACATGCTGTCAGCAGGGTTCAGTAGGTTAAACAGGGTCCTGTGTATGTGTGTGTAACTAATCTGAGGGTATGTGTCCCAAGTTGTCTGGTTTATCCCTGCGAGCTTGCTGCAATATGTCTGGGGCTCTTCCTTTCTGTCTGGTTGTTAAGAAAGAGCTGCTACATGTTGTTTGAGGCTGCTAACTAAAATGCCTACCAATCTGACCATTTATATGGTCGTGATGAAGAACTGTGCATCATTCAGCGTTAGTGACAAATCCCCCTTTCAGTCTTTATCAAATGCTATTGTCTAATGTTTGACCTCAGAGTCTGAACTAGGTATTTGGCTTGACCATCAAATGCCAGTCATTTAGACTTCAGTGTTTGATGTGTTTCTCTGGAGGAGGAGCTCGATCTCCTTCGACCTACCCTGTAATGCATTCCTCTCACTCCATCCGTGAGGTCTGAGTTGTAATCTTGGATTCCCTCACTGGATTGGGAGGTACTGCCTGTTAGTGTCTCTAAGGTCATTTGTTAATCTGATGGTAATGCTTTAATCCCTGTATTAGCGTACAATATACCCTAACATACAGCTCACTTCCTGCCTAAAGGCCACAGGTTAGACTGCTGGGCCACTGTCTTGTAGCCTTGACTTCCTCTTCTTCACAGCTTGGAAGGGTTTTAAAAAACCTGTGAGAAGTCTAGGGCTGTTTTTACTGCTTAGATATACATAAAAAAAAATATGTTGCTTCAAATGATGTGCGCACAATAACTTTAAAAAAAATGCAATTAAAGCCTTATCATTGCTGATAGTTTCTTAAGCATCAAAACTGTAAGTCTTGAATGAATTCAGTGGAACTGGTGGTGTTGAAATATTGTTTTGGTACTTGAGTCCAGTTTAGCGAGGACAATTGTATTTGTTAGACCCATGGAGGGAGTATGGCACCCTGTCTTGCCAACTGTTTGCCATTACTTAAGTCCACTGGGTGGCACTAAAAGCATTTTTGTTTTTTACATTTTTAATGCAAGACACATTTTGATGTGGCTAGTGTACCTAGGCTACTACATTTTCCTCATTGTAGAGTGAACATAGCCTGAGTAAACTGTTTGTTTACAAGCTGTAAATAAAGATATCTCATACATGCTGATTTCTCTGTGTCACACGCATTTATTTCTTTGGTTTTTGTGTGTTAAGTGCTTCAGAAAAATGGTTAACATCCTTTCTCTGCCCACCCACACTCACATAGTCAAACTGTTAAAAAAAAAAGTTATGTTTGGCAAACTTACCAGATAATCAACCTCATTAAGGCTGTAGTCTACAAAACATGCAGACTAAATATGTGTAGGAATAATGTGTATCAACATGTAGCTTTCATTATTTTAATCAATTAGTAAAGAGCGACTGTTTACCCAAAACAACTTGGGAAATACATATTTGCAATGCCATTGCAATTTGCAGCAGTCCATTAGAGAATCCATGGAGAGGTAAAATAGAGGGCACTTAAACGTAAGTAAAAGTCAATGTTGAATTATTGCTCAGTCCATTAGTACAAAAATATAAAGATATATGAACAGATCCATAGCACCCCATTAAGTAAATCAATCTTTTGCTTGACCCTGATGACTGGTAGGTGATTGTGCAGACTCTTGTCCACTATGATGATAGTCTGTGGTCACCTTAAATATCCCATCTGTGTACGCGCTGCTCCCTTCAAATCCACTGTTAATCCATGAACTTGCGGTTGGGGTTGGCACCAAACAAGTTCACTCTGATTTCAGGCATCATCTGTCAAAGGTAAAGTAAGGATAGAAATGAGAAACACCCACAGAAAAAACTAAAATAGGACAAACCTGAAGAAATGATTGAAGTAACTTAGTGAAGCAACATTACAAATGCAAGAGAGAGGCTTTATTAAATAATATTTTATAAATAATATTGTAATATTTTTTACAAGGTGCCTATGCAGTGATAATGCTCTTGTGTGTATCTGCAGCTGTGTGTTTGAAGCGGAAAACATTTGGGATACATACTCAAAAAACAATTCCTCTAACCACTCAGACAGTTTATCTGTGACAAGAGCAGTTATTCTACACACAAAGCATGAATGAATACATTCTAATTAACTTACAAAAGCAAAACAAAGATGTTTGTAATTAGTACACAATCAATTCTCCAGCCTTTTCTGAATCCAACTCAATGAAGTAACAACCAATTAATGTTGTTAAATGAGCGGTTAACATGACCAACCACTATTTCAACTCCCACACCTTTAGATAATTAAGCTCACTGGGAAACCTAGTGTGCTCTGCTGCCCTCCACAGGCGAGCAGCAGAAAGTACTTGTATTGTGTCATTAAGATCAGAAATTATGAATTTAATTTTGGATATATAGTCAGAGTTACTCTACCTGATGTGCCATAAGTTCTAGCCTGCTCTCCAAAGTGTTGGACACCTTGATCTTCCCATTATCGTTATACACTTCTACTCCCCCGCAGCTGTTAAAACAGAGAGTAGACATTACTGCAAATATGAAAGGACCAAACTCAGCTTACGTCTGTCTTTTGTTTCACCCTCTCCACTATCAATCGTAGTCGCTATGAAAATACAGTCACAAATAGTTACAATAAAAACTAAGGAATCTGACAATACATTTTTTTTTAAATCAAAGTGGAACAGCTGATGTTAAAGTACATTCATTCATCTTACATTTCTGAGGGAAGAAAACGTTCCTGGTCAATTCTGACATCTATGTTGCTCTTCACTGCCTCTTTGTAGATAGGAATGTTCTTAATAACCGCAGTCTGTCAGGTAATAAAATAGAAACACACAACAGTATCAATTATCATGAATGTAAAAAAGAGTGCAAAGACTCTTGACCCTGTGCTCTCCTATATAAGCTGTTACAGTAATCACAACATACAACACTATAGTCAGCTCAACCTCACCTGAACCATTTCCACATCCTGCTGTCGGCAGCGAATGGTTACCTTAGGTTCCAGCAGTTGATAGAATCCCTGAAAAGTGAAAAAGCACAAACTGAGGAAACATAGAGAACCAACAAATCACTCAGTTTTCAGGGTGCAAGAGCAATTTACCTGAAGTAACAAGCCCTCCAATAGGGTGGAGTACCTAGCAGGATCCTTTGCAATCTCTCCAAGTCTTTGACGGGCCTCGTTCAACAAATCCTGAGGAGGGAAAACATAGAAAAAGTCTGCAATTTTTACAGCTTACTTTAGATCACTTTAACATTACATGTTGCTCATAAAAACCCTTATTCAGATACTGTTGAAGTAAGGTATATAAGTAAGCATATAAGTAAAGCTTATATAAATATAGGAATTTGTGTTTAAATGCTTGTCTGTCGTGGACCATGGGACCAATGAGGACCATAAATTAAAATCCATTCACTATCTTACTGGGGTGGTGGGCTGAACTGAACTGAACTGAACTTTGAGGAATTTCATGCAGGATTCAAAAGGACCAAACATAAGCACACGTGGACACTAATGGCATGCATAAATATGCAGACACTCATGAATGCAGCCCTGTTGTAGTTGTAAATCAGTTGTATGACATGAACTGAAATGCAAGTATGAACATGATGTCTAACCGTGATCATGTCGTCACGGGCCCTCAGCACCTTCAGCCTTGCTTGGTTCATCAGGTTCGACATCTGGCTGTGACAGTGCGAGAAAAAGTGGATGAGTAAATTGGCTGCACACGTTAACATGTAATACAGCATGCCTGTCTTTACCATAAGAGGTCAGGACAGAGGGAGGTGATGTAGTTACAGTTTAATTTTACTGTTAAATTTATTTACACACCATGCCAAGGGCAGCACCCTGAGATTTAAAAGACAGCCATGACAGTGGGGGTAAAAGAAAATGTGGTAAGAACTGATTCAGTTTGCTGATGCAGCTCAGATAATTATTTGCTCTCTTTCCTCTATGGACTTCTCTAATCTGCCAAAGTCACTAAAAATGTAAAATCGGTCAGATTCAAATCTGTAATCAACAATGCCTGACAGAGACAGGCAAACTGAGACAATAGCTGAGCTCTAAACAGGAAAAAACAACCGTGGTGTGGTGATGCATTAAACTATGTTTTGTGGAGATTCCAATACCCCATGATCCTATGTCTCTCACTTCAAATCAATGTGCCCATACACAGGATATGGGAAGGCTTCTACTGTTTGTCATTGTTTAGTAAAGCCAAGGATTTCAAAACGCTGAAGTCACCTCTAATGAATCAAAGGGGGTGAAACAATAATTTTATTACGCTTTAACTTAACTTATATCTCTTTGCAGATACAATTTTTAAATGCTAATGAAAAGTTAATCACTAAATGCCTAGCAACTCACATTTTCTTATGTTGTTCAATCTGCTTTTCCTTCTTTTCATAGTATTCCATTATTTTCACCCTCTGAGTCTGCACCAGACGACCTTTCTCAATGTTGAACTCTTCCTCCGCCTGTAAACAGATGGGTATGACAAGACCCATTACTAGTCACTGAGAGTGCTTATGTGCATACTAGTATCCTGGTTATGATCAGGTTTTTGGAGTATCCTGGTTATATTTTGTGCATGTAAACAGCATATCATGGTTTTAGAAACCTGAATAAAACCTTATCCCAATTTTTTATTCTGACAGAAACCAAGATACTGTAGCATTTAAATACATCATCTAGGTTCCTGAACCATCTCATAGTACCTGAGAAGGTGAGATGTCAAGACACATCTGCAGGCAGACAATCAGAAACCTGGATACTGTTACGATCATGTATACAGGGATATGAGTAACCAGGATTTTCACACCCCATGTAAACACCATATCCTGAATATAATCAAAATCAAGGGTCAAACCAGGATACCAATGCACATGTAAACAAAGTAAGCAAAGCAAAAATCATAAGATTGACTGGTTGACAAGACAGACAGACAACCTTTCATTACCTTAGCATCAATCTCTTCAACTTTCTCATTGGCCTCTTGTTCAATGAAGGCCATCATGTGCTTGATCTGCCACACAAAACAAACATACAAGAGATGTCACACAAAGTTCAAACTTTACAGATCACGTTATGTTAATTTTCTGAATAAAAGTACTTCAATTCACAATTCATAGCAAACATATTATAACATACAAAAACTGTCTCATTACTCCGAAAAGATTCACATGGCTTGTATTAATACTGTATGTCGGGAACGTTAATATGTAGCCATTCCCGACAGTCTGTTTCAACTTCACACATGTAACAAAACAATTCTGTCAAATGACTGTTGAAACAGTTAGTGCAGAATAGTAAACAGCTGTAGGTACACGTAACTGTAGTTCAGGGTTTAGCCCTTTGGCTAACGTTTGACATGTTTACCTAAATGTATAACCAAGTCACTGGGACAAAGTTAGATAAATTTAATCTAAAAAATTCACGAGCCTAACATTGTCTACTTTACCTGTTTCTGTACGTCGGCATCGGTGAGCGCCATGTCTGTTATTAAAAATGTTTTGTTTATGTAAAACCTGTAAAAACACTAAATCGTCTCGACCACTCGAACAGTGCAGTAACGCAGAAACAGTTAGGAACAGACTTGTCCTCCTCTTGTAAGTTTCACGTCGAGTTAACTACAGAAGACGAAACACAACTTCCGGTTCTAAAGTTTAAAATTACACGCGTATTTAATGGATCGAGTCCTTGGATTAGGAAACAGTTAAGCGCCCATCCTCTTCCATTTTTTATAGCATGTTGACACACACTGGTCACAGCGTTTTCTAATGGTTTCATATTAACGTAATTATTCCATAATATTTTCATTCAATAACTGTGATGCGAGGGTGCAGCGAATGGAGACTCCAGTCAGGAAAACGGTTTTGTCCTCGGACCCTGGACTGCACGGTTTCTGAGGGTTTTTGTGTAATTTTTGTTAACCCCGGCCATAATGTAATTTGGTCCCTCATCTTTGAGGTTTATAAAGTTGTTGATATTTGCAGCAGAAAGTTTCTGCAAAGGTAATTTAAGGTAATAAGCTTATCATTTTCATTTAGGAGAAGTCACATTTTAAACACAGCATTTTGTTGTTAGCTGGTTGTTAACTACTACATTCCCATGCTCAACTGACATTGTGCACTTGCGGTTGCTAGGATACGCTGGGCAATTTTAATCAACGCTCGGTCATCCAAAAATATCACACACTTTCACTTTAATGTTAGTGTTACTTTATCGCTTAAAAAAGTTAAAACACTGTCCGCTACTTAACGCGAGTGTTATTTTGAAGGTATTGACAGGAAGGTTGGTGTTATATTCTGGCTAGCTTGTGTAGATTCCAAAGCACACTGTGTACTAGTGCTACTGCTGCCTGCCAGTGGTGGTCTGCCCTCTACAGCTACTGCTGCAGGGGACTGTGTCGCATATTTCCATTCAATCTGTCGTCTGTCAGCACCTGGTTGCCTTTGGACAAGGACGGTAAGAAATCGGCTCAAACTGGACTTAACTACAATTAAGTTTTGCGTCTCCGAAATAGCACCTAAAACATGTACCGTTAAAGCTAGCTATAGCTTGCATGTGTGCTGAGGGGTTCCAGTAACGACTCGTCTAACCAAAAACGGACTTGTTTGTGTAGCAAACCATTTTCTAATTTGACAGATAATTAGCTAATGAGCTATATGTATTATATTAAATGAGTATGATTGTATAACGTTAGCTATTGGAGCATACTGTCATTTGGATAAAACTGAACGATAATATTACGATATATTTTACTTATATTCTACATAGGCTACTAAACTCGTTATGATATTTTTATTTAAACATTGGAACGTTGGTATTAACTGTTTTGGAACTCCGCTAATCAGCAAGAGGGTTTATTTTGACAGTTAAAACCGGAAGTTTCTCTTTCATTTCGCAAACTTGTCACTTATCAAACTTTTGGCCCGCGTGGTGGCACCTCATCTCTGGAGGACGATGTGAGATGATAAGCTTGGACTTAACATTTGTTGAGTCAGTGAGAGCATTCTTACGCCCAGCAAACCTACAGGAGACTAATAGTGAAGTTCAGCGATATCTTAATTTCCACTAAACATTTGCTCAGTAAAGGCTTTTATTGAAGGACTTTTCACGCCCATCTGCCCGCCACGTGTGTCATGTAAGTTAAATTGTGTCATGATGTGAATACAAAAAGTACCAACTATGGGACTTTCGATTTGTGCTGCTCCATCTATGTCTTCTATTAGCAGCCACATTGTTCCAAAGGCATCAAAAATGACAATTAATGATCAATTGTCAAACCAGCGAGCATGTCCACCTTACACAATGGGCACAGGACATTGTGACACGGAGTGGGACATCCGTTTTATGTCATACATGCAACAGCTGTTTCACAGTTAAACAACAATAGTCATCATGATTTATAGCCAGAGTCTGACATGGATTTCCTTATTTTTCTTTGTTGATGGGTGCCTTAGCCAGAATTGACTGTACTGCAGATTGCATTGATTGTCACAGTGACAACTCATTATTCTTCTTCTGGCTGTCATTTTCCTCAGGTGAGACGTCCGGCTTTGACTGTGAGAATTAATGTGCCTGAGAGTCTGACATAAGTCTGTTCAATGGCTACCTCGGGCTCCATCGTTTCTGCCTCCACCACTGCCGTTGTGCCTGAGGGTTTCCATTATGAAACCAAGTACATTGTTCTCAACTACCTGAGAATGCTGCCTGTTAGTAGATCACACACGCTAACCACAGCTCAAGGTAAGTGGAAAGACTTTAGACTTTTGATTCTCTTCATGTTGTGCAGTCTGACGTATATAGGGCAACCCTTATACTTTTCGGATTTACACTGCACACAAATAGATTTGTGTGCATATGCACATGTAACAGAAAATATGCCGGGTGTGTGTAGGCAGGTTGGCACCTGTTTACCAGCTTAATTTAGCTTTCTCTTACACTGACTTAAAAACTCATCCAAAGACTGTGCCCATGTACACATGACATTAATGAAGTGGTCAGTGCTTGTAAACGAATACATCTAAGCTTAGCTGCAATAATTTCAATATGTTGTTCAGAGTAGCTGAAGACTGGCCTGTCTTCACAGAGGGTTTTATAGCAACCTTGTGCCATGACCTCAGGCTTGCAGCATTCCTATTTTCCATCTTGTTCCCTGTGTGACTGGAATGCAAAAAAAAAAACAGCAAAGTATTTTTTTTATTTGTTATATATATATATATATATATATATATATGACATTTGTAATTCTTGTATAAATCTTTGTGTGTTATGTGCTGTTAGAGAAACAATGTATGAAACTAAATCGCACGCTTGCCACCAGCATGTTATGAGTCTTAATTTCTGCAATGAATCTATGGCCACAGCATGTTAGTGGTGAAATAAATTTTATTGATTAAAGAGAGTTGGAGGGTAAGACAGTTCTGCAGGATTTTAGGTCAGGCATGTCACTCCTTCTGTCTCGGGATGAAGAACAGAACTATATGGGGGAAAGCAAAAAAAAGAGAAAAAAAGCAGAAGGAGAGAGGGGAAGTCCTCTATATTTCCTGTCCCTTTTTATTGTTGTGTGCATGCTTAGAATGGGTGGAGAAGGGCAGATGAGTGGCTGATCCCTGCTTTCCGCTTGACCCGGTCCAATTTCTGACAGCCTGTCATGTGTAATCACCGTAGGATTACTCACACGCCAATGGACCAAAGCGAAATAGTTGGCCGGCTAGCTGTCTGGCTGAATGCTGAAACAGCACCAAGCCCAGGAAAAACCAACACTGGTCCTCAGGGTGTTCATGTATGAGCTGCAGTGATAGAGAGAGTGGGAAAGGGGTTGACCGAGTGTCCCCTTGTTAAAAAACAATTTAATTTCCCATGTGTTAAATCAATGAAGAATGATATTTCAAAGTCATTTGTACTTCATTGCTATTGGCTGCTAGTCCCCAGTTTAGCTGTGCTGTCTCAAACCAACAGAACTAATGGAGTCCACATTCCATCACAGTGGAAATAACCAATGTCATTGGTTTGAGCGTGTGAAGAGGAAAAAGTGTCACCCTTCCTTATCAAATGACTGAAGGATCTTTCCAGACTGAATGGCTGCATTCAGAATGGGTTTTGTGTGAATGTGAAGGCTCGCGGTCATACACCCAAGCAGCCTCCAGCATAAGTTCTGCACTGGTGTCTTGTGTGCACGTGATGACAGAGCACCACTCTCAGCTTTTTCTTCCGAGTTCAGCGACAACATTCTGAGGAGGAGGAGAAGGGGAATGACTTGAAAGTAGAGGGTGTTAGTATTAGTCTGCAAACATTTTTTCCCCACCAGGAAAGTCGATGTATGCATTTCTGGTTTGTATGGAAAACTGAGCGTATGTAGTCATGTCAAGTGTGCAGGAGTCATTGGCTCATCATTACGGTGGAGTCAAGGAATGGTATGATATTAGATGTCTGCCGATACCAAGTCAGATCCAATATTTATTCTTAGTTTATGTTTCTTTTTAAGTCCTAAATGACACAGCTGTACAATGCACACTAAAAGTAAATTTTCCCTTATTTAACCAGGTAAATGACTTGTTGGAGACTTAAAATCTGCTTTTCAAGAGATTTTCGGCCAAAAGGCCAGCATAAGAACATTGTTAACAACAAAATACCAATAAATACAGACAGCATAAACAGACTAAGACAAGTGTCACACACACTACGAAAGAGCATACAAAATATTCAGTTATGATGCAGAAATTATAGGGTAAACAGTTTTTTTTCTTTAGTGGTTTTGTGTAATAATTTATAAAGTGCTGTGTAGTATTAGTGAAGAGTCAGCTAGTGTGCATCTGTGTGTGTGTGTGTGTGTGTGAGAGTGATACAAAGGGAGTGAAAGACAGTTTGTACGTCATGTGTCTATCTCTTTCAGGAGATGGCCAGAATGAGAGAGAGAGGACTGTAATGATAAAAACGCAAATAGAGGAAGAGCTGAGGCAACTGGAAGATGAAATCACTGCCTGTAAGTGGACACACACACGCAGTTTTCTTCTGAACACTAACACTAACACTAACACACACACACACACACACACACACACACACACACACACACACACACACACACACACACTACTTCAGTGGTTGTTCTCAAAAAAATGTTTGGTTGTCAAAATAGAATTAAAATTAATTCTCAAGTCTTTAGTTTATGGGGTCAAGTCTCCATAATGTTTTAGAAACAACGTGTAGACATTCAAGTACATATGCAGATGTATGCAAACCTCAATAATGATAGTTTAAAGGACAGCACTCTGTAGATAAATGAAAGGAAACACAAACTCAAAAACATCAAGGCTTTAAAACTTTTTTTTGTCAGTTGTAAATTCTCTGGCGACAGTTGGTTTGTCTGTGCAAAGGAATTCAGAAGTCAGTGTTGGTGAATGTAAAACATGACATCTATGCTGTGTTTCTTTACATAGCCACAGTTCTCTGAGTAGCATGACTGAGCCCAATTTTAGTAGTAGTAGAGAATTTCTTTTCTTCCTGACAACTCACATCCTTAATTTGTCACAGGAGATCTTCCCAAAGTGAGACACTTATTCATGCTACTCAGTGAACCATAGTTACATAAATAACCCAAACTTTCATAATAACCTTATAGAGTCTTTCAAACTCTTCATGTGCAGTCTGAAAAATATATTTGCATAAATTTAATTTCTATCTTTCATTTTCTCACTAGTCCGTCTGAATCTTCATTAGATTTTATGAAGTGTCCAGAGGTACCATCTCAATAAAATTTGATTCAATTTTTTTTTTTTTTGCCTTTCTCTGCTGTTACCACCCCAGCCTTTACCACCACAGGCTTCGACCGCCACTCATCGCTGGTGTTCAGTCCGGCCAACCCAGAGACCTCTATTGAAGACTGCCTGGTTGTGATGGGAGACCGGGTGGCCAGAGAGCTTGACACATCCCTGGCAGAAGCTGTACACACACTACTCACAGGGTTAGTTCTGCAGAGCTGTGACCATATTTGAGAAAAAAAAATTATTGAATTGATTTAAGTTCACAGGGAAATGCTGGTTTAGATAAATATGCTGCCAAAACAGCATCAGTTGTTTCTGCTTTGAGATTATCACTCCTATTACTCCTACTTCTTACAAATGGGCAATCCAAAAACATGCATTTCAGAGGAAGCATTATTGTGTGTGTCAGTGCAGCAACCACACTATAATACTGGTTGCTTTTTATTTCACAGTATGGGGAAAATGATTGTTCCACAATCTCAAAGGAATGACAAAGTCAGTGTTAATATACTGCGGCTGTAGTTCATTTTCTCCTGAGTTAACTCTTGAACTTTACAAGTTATGCAGTCAATTGAGGGAGTGTAAACAAAGGAATGTAAACATAACTGTGACAAAATGGCACAGAAAGTATCAAACTATAAACTAAAATATTACACTGGTAAAGACAGATAGGGTATAAACAATGGCATCATTTCATAGCCCATCCATATATGCAGTTTTCTTCTAAACACTAACACACACACTCACACTCACACACTCATTCACTTCTGCTTTGCAAAACCAGACAAATTTGGAAATCCTGGAGTCACTGGGAAAGGAATGGTCACACACTGCTCAGTCATAATCGTAACCCAAACATGTTGGCTATTTGCACTGTATTGAAATATGTACTAGTATTTGCCTTTGGTTGAGAGTGAGTTGCAAATGCACAATGCACGTAATCCCCAGATGCTCCAGTAGAGCAGCTTAGTGGCTACTGGGCAACTTCCAACTGTGAATGAGTGGAACTGTGTGAGAGTGGTGTGTGGGACATGGTGGCAAAAGAGCATTCATAGTTGGGGAAATTCCCCAGAGAGTACAAAGTGCCTTTTGGACGACAACATCAACGACAACAACAAATTTAATGTCCAACCACATTTATCGATCAAACCTCAGTGTTTTCAGTCAGGGATACCTATGTCTTGGCATCTAAATATGTTTTTGTAAAATATGTTTTAATATGTCCTAAACAACTAGGTGTCAAACTCTTGTTTAATACCAGCGATGACGTCTGTGTGTGTTTCAGGCCTCTGGACTACCAGAGATTCAGAGACACAACACTGATTCTCTCAAGACAGACACAGGGAGGCTGGAGCAAGGTGAGCAAGTCACGAGTTTAACTTGTCCTCTTTATACTTTTTAAAATTGCTCAACACAAGCAAAAGGTGCAGCATTTGTTCTGTGCACTATTGTCTTTTTATATATTTGGTACCTAATGTCTCTTACTAACTCTCCACTGCTTTCTTTCCTTCTTTTTGTCTCCCCCTTAACTATGACTTCTACTCATCTTTCCTTCCCTCTCTCCCAGGTGGTAGTGCCTTTGGTGCTGCTCCAGGCTTTACAAAGCGAGGGACAGTCTGTGACAACTCTGTTGCATCTGGGGGTACGCTTACTAGAGGAAGATGAAGCTGACTACATTATTCAGCAAGGGGGATGGGTGAGTTTTACGCACGCAATGGAGGAAACCATAAATGCATACCAGTACATTTTATTCTTAACCACCCATAAATCAAAAATAACTTCCTGTTACTGTACTAAGCCTATTTAGATGAGCGAGAATTTTAATTACACTAACAAAAAACTATTCCTGAGAAGACTCCAGAGTATAAATATACTTAAAAATGGTGCCTGTTAATTACTTTCAAGTTACAAAGATGGTGATACAATCTAAAAGGTGAAGTATAAGTTCAGTATAATAAAGAGCAGCAACTAGTTAGTGCTTCTTAGTTGTATTAATGGCTAAATATTTTGCAAGATTGTGCCAGGGGTAGCTAGGATCAAATTTAAAGTTGGGATGTAGTGCAAAGTGAACAGGAAAAATGGTTAAAATAAATGTACACGCTTCTAAATGGCCAGATGAGGGCACCAGTGGGCTACCTGTATAGTTATTTCATAGCCCAGACTAAGTCCCTGTCCCTTTTGAGATCTACAACAACCCCATAACTGTACACATGAGATTCAAATGTACGTACATATGTACATACTGGAATAAGTATTTATGATTATAATAAAGCCTCAACAGATAGTGTACATAAATAACCTGACAATATTCCAGTCTAATTAACCTTATAATTCTTTCATTAATCTTATTTTCATTCACTAGTTTTTACTCTCTTTGTAGGATAATGGCTTGATTTTAAACTAAACCAGCGACCCCTGTCTCAGTCCGGAGTCCTATGCTGTAACTTTAATGTGATGTCCCTGGTGATTATTTACATCATTAACATTAATCTGTTGACAACATTCAGTCATGGTTTGGACCAAAAATGTGCTTGTATTTCTGTGGCTTTTTTTCTGTAAGAAAAAAAAAGCATATTGTATTAAGATGATAAACTTGTTCAAACATTGAGTCATCTTGGAACTTGCAGTTCAAGCTGTGCATGTTGCAACTGATACAGGTGAGAACATGCTGAATATAAAGCAACTCCAGGGTGCAGTTTACTCAGGAATATGTCTCCTTACTGTTCCCTATGCTCACACTTTACATGTTTTCATATTCTCCTACATATGCTACTTTTGCTGCAACTTTTCTTGTGATTTAGATTTGCATTCTTTTTTCAGTGATGATATTGGCGTGGCTTCAGTTCTCCAATGTTATAATAAGTGGAACACTGCGTCACAGATGGCTCCCTATGAACCAGGTCATACTGACGAACAGTCACGTGACCTAACATGTTAACCGCTGCCCTGGTCGCCATTACCTCATTGTCATGATGCTCAGCCTGGTTTTCATGCAATGTAACGTGTGCGCTGGGTACAAACAAAGCCACATTCTTGCTCTGCGTTATGTCACAGGGGATGAACGGATGAGGGACAGGATCAGCAATGGAGGCATGAAGAGAGAAGAGGAGGGAGAGAGAGAGAGAATGCATGAAGAGACTGGTGATAGGAAGGGAGGGAATACGAGGGAGGGGAGGGGTGAGAGATGAGGAAGAAACGGGGTGGGCACGGTGAGAGAGCATAGTGAAATCTCCATTAGTTTGACAGCTGCCTCTAAGTACACTTCTCTCCAACTGGCTTTCTACCTCCACTCCATCTCCTAGACTCTCTTATCGTCTTGACTCTCTATTCAAGTGTAAACCAGGGGGTTGCAAGACTTTGCATTGAGGTAGGATTGTTTTATTTTGGTTGTTAAAGCAACTACAGAGTGAGATGATTTAGGTTGATGTTTATGTATGAGTGTGTTCTCTGAGAAAGAGTGACTGTGCAGCGGCAACAAACCTTCTGCAGATGCTAACTGCTAAAAAATGAGGAACATCAAGTTTTTTTATATTAGAAAAGAGACGACGGAGAGCAGAGACATTTACTCGTTTATTCATCCTTTATCACATTTTGTTTTGAAACGATAGAAGAGAGATCTGCACAGATTAGTACCGGTCCCTTTTCTGTGATGAATTGTTGGAAAGTGGATATTCTATCTATTCGTCTCGTCCTCTTCTAGGACATCGTTGTAACAGTAGTGCAAGTGACGCACAATGCAAGGTTTGGGTGGCTCTCATCATTGCCTTTTGTTTAGTTACACCCGAATACAATAAGGATTGTTATGACCCTAATGTGGTGTACACTTCATTTGGCACGAACAAAACCAACAGCCCTCAGACAGCGGACAGCCAGGGGCGGATAGGAGAAGGACATGATTGGGGAGGGACAAGGGGGGAGATGGTGCAAAAAAAAAAAAGGCTTACATGGTGAAAGAGATTCTAGTCTGTCTGTCTGTCTGTCAACTGTTGTTGGCCTGTCCTTCAGGAATCAGACAGCTGTGAGGCCTGAGTGCGCACATCAGCCATTTCATATTACAGTCCTTGCGAGTGTGACGTAATATGACGCCAGAGGTTTTCAAGTGTCAGACTGACAATTGCACCTGACCTCCTGGCAAAGAGAAAGGGATAATGAAGACATACATTATTTGACTATCAAATTATTATCAAATATGCTGCAGTAAAAGCAGCAGATCTTAAAGGGCAATCAAGGAATTTCTATAGGCCCTTAGTTTTATGGTGGCGATAGCTGCTGCTGCTGCTGCTGCTGCTCCTGCTGCTCCTGCTCCTCCTGCTCAGCAACCGTGAAGATGCAGTGATGATATTTTAAGGACAAGGTGCTGAAAGGGTTCCAGTCTGGGCCGAGTCAGGGCACATCACGCTGTACAGTGTAACAGTGCTCCCCCCCGTGTTACGTAAGCACCCTCTCAGCAGCTCCAGGGTGAAATAATGTGCATCACTGTGCCACTGCACCAACATGAGACCGGACTAGAGCAAAGTGCCTGAGCAGGCAGAGGAAGCCCCAAAAATAACTCTAATAATCCTCTAAAAACATCATCACCAGGGGCTTGACTGGCCCACTTGTAGCTTGCTGCAAAACTTGCTACAGCAGCAACACACTGGCTGACTGCCAGGGTTTAAACAGGGCAGCTGTCCATTTCTCTGTCTCTCTGCCTATCCATGAGTCTCACTGCTGCCACAACACTGTTAATGATGACCGGCCAAAAACCAATATTTACTGATGCAAATTGCGTAGCTGCACACAACAAGAGACTATTGCATCAGTATAAAAGGGAATTAGCCCAAGGCTCTCCCAGAGTTGTCAGATTGCATCAGCAAGTTGTCAAAATAACCATGCTTTGTCTTGGGCTGTTTTATACTGCTGTCAACAAGTAACAGTAATGTGTGGGCATGTGAGAAACTTAAGGTGATGAAGTGTTCCCTAAACATGATGATTAAATAGAAAATATACTGATGGAGGTAGAGATTTTTAATGTGTTTTTATAGCATTTGTTTGTGGGTTTGACAGTGTTTTCCCATAATAATGTCTTACTGCTCCGTTTTGGGTTAACGGAAACATGTGCACTCACAAATGTAACTGTACAGCAGATATTCTAGTGAAGTATTTAAAACTTCTGTGTTTGTGGTGATGGAAATTCTTACCATTTAGTTTTCATAGCCATTCTGCATTATAATAAGTTAGTTTAATGACCAGAGGCCGGCTGAAACCTCTTTTTTTGAAAAAAAAAAAAAATGAAATGGGAGCTACAATTAGGTGTTGATGAGTCCCTCTCAGTCCTTGGTCTCAGTCAGCTGCTGTGTGACCTCTTGCAGTGCTTGTCCATTTGGAACAGTGATGACATAATCCCCATAAATGTTGAGCGTGCAAATGAGCCAGTGAACATTACATTGATCAAAATAATCACAAAATTGAAAATTGTCACTGGTTCACGCCAGTTTGAGATACTGTAGGATAGTTTGACATTTTGTTGATGTAGAAAGTGTGCTCTTTGTAACAACCCAGATCTGATGTTTGGATTTGCAAGTGGATGCAGCATGTTGACTGTATGTGGGAGTCATGTGCCAATGTAGCAAGTACATGTAAATGGTCACAAAAATGTAGCAACTATTTTCCTCATTGTTTGTTCAGGGTCTTTTTGGCAGCAGCTATGTTACCTGGCCCCCGTCAGGTGCAGTGTCTTATGTCAGCGCAGTGTAAAGTTGTGTTAAGAGTGAAGCACTAGTCGACTGTACACCTCTACCTCAGGAATGTGGACTTGTTTTTATATAGTTTGTGTTTGCCTCAGGGCGAGGGTGGAGAACTGTGGAACATGCCTGACAACAGAACACCTCTTAAAACTTTAGTATGTTTCCCAACAACATGGACCTCTCAAGCAAGAACAAACATAGTTCAGTGAGTGAGTGATTCAGAGTGGATTGTCTTCCTAGGTGTGTTTTTCTTTCATTATTTATTCTTTATGTTAAATTATTGCTGCAGGTTTCAAAGGAGTTTGCAAGAATTGCTGTTTGTTATCATAAATCTTTTTGTGTTGGGTGTTGTTATTAGTTACAGAGCGTCTAACTTTGGACTGTGCCCGTTTAGATGGTGCATTTTTCCTCTATAATTTTTATACTTAAAGCTTTGTATAACAGCTACCACTAAACTGCCTAAAGTTATAGAATAAATGGTTTATAGTTGCTAGCTTGTGTGCCATAGTTGGGGAAACCCAGTTTGTATTATTCATTAATGACAATGCAATTTCCACTGTGGCACCAACCACCTTTTGAGGTTTAAATGTCGGTTTGGATTTAGACCAGTGAGAACTGGTTGGTGATGGTTGTTGATTATAATTGTTCTTGAGTAAAATCAGCATCATTTTGCTGTCGATTTTCTACCACATGGCAACCCTGTACTGTCCTGTCCTGTTGTGTCCAGCTGATGGGGAAGCTGTATCCTGAGGGTTTTGTGAAACACTCTTGCTCTCCCACATGCAAATCAGCTTATGGAGAAAGCGAATGTTGGATAATGATGGAGCGCTGCTAGATTTAATCTCTCTCCTGCGTCCCAGGATGCAGCTTTGCACCACACTGAGTGTCCTTGTAAGGAAAATAACCTTCACAGCTTGGCTGTGTCATTAAAAATCATCTTTACATAGGTGATCACTAGTTTACATATGCTTCTTCAGGAGTTGAATGGTGTGTTGATCAGATGCAAATTGGTGGTTATGGACACTGTAAAGAACATAATGTCCTATTACCATGTTGCCAAATGAGAATGTTGCCTTTGGAGCTGCTTTCTGCTGTCAGGACCTTTCATGTGCCGCTCAGACAAACACACAATCTCTCCCCCTCCCTGTTAGACAAACACGGCTGTGCCTACTGTCTATTTGAATCTCATCTGTTCAAGTCACACCTACGTGACACGCACTGCAACACAACAGAGAAGCCTGCTTGTGACAGATCCAAATTTAACTTCAGCCTAATGAAGTCCAGTTCTTTATCTGTAAATGCAGATCAGTTATTTATCACACATACAGCCTTGTCTCAGCATTTTTCATCTGCTAGATTCACCTGCTCAGACCGATGTTAGCTATGCCAATGTTGTGGTTCTGTGTATAGCAATCACTTTTGGCCTGCCTGAATTACCTCGGCTGCTACCGAGTGGACTTCCATGAACATTTGTATAGATATTCATGGTCCCCAGATGATGATCTGACTTTGTTAATCCTCTCATAAAAACGTTGTATTAACCTATTCATCTATTGTTATGAATATAGAAGCTGTTTGCCCTCAAGATAGTGAGCATGTCATTATGTATCTTCTTCTTTGGCCTATTTTTGAGCCACATAATGTAGATTCTGCACCACTTCCCTGCACACTCAGCAAACAGAGAGATATGGCAGTTTTGTTATGACAATCCAGCTGTGGAAATTAGTTTGAGCTTTTTGATATTATGAGGTCAAACATGAATTCACTTCAGCAGACCTTTGTGTTTGATTCAATTAACTTACATGGGTTTTGCATGAGCAAGCTGACCTCTATGGCAGTTACTCATACCCACATGATCATGATATGCCCTTTACATAATAGGAAAGCATTAGAGATGCTTGATCCAGTGTTGGGTAGCAAGCTGCTTACCACAAGGTGGCAGAAAAGGCTAACTTAAAGAATGAAGCAGTGCAGTGAATGCTAAATTTTACTTGGTGTCTAAACCCAGAAATCTGATTAGTCATAGGAAGTTCAGATGGCATAAGTTGATTTTATGATTCTAAATGTAATTTCACCTGTGCGATAGTTCACATACGTTTCTGTACTAGTATATGATAGTTAATTCTTGTGATTTTCTTGGAAGAAATTGTCCTCCATAATGTCACACCCAAAGAAAAAGCTCACAATACAGTACAAAATATAAATATATCATCTTTGCTCCTGTCTGTCTACCACAGGGTGAAATATTCAGGCTTCAGTCAGAAGAGGAGCGAGGTGTGACCATCGCTGAAGACAGCAACGACATTTACATCCTCTCAGGGGAGCAGCATCCTGACCAGCTGAGCCCTCCTTCATCGCTCCTCTGCACTGGAGACAACAGCAGTGAGCAGAGCTCCTGGCAGACAGAAAGCTTACCTGTGTCTCTGGCCGGCCACGAGTCTTGGGCACAGGTTGGTGCAATGGACCCTGAAGACATCAAGAGCCTGGACAGCAATGAGGGCGTGGCTCTGGCCGAGGAGCGCAGTGAAAACAACTCCTCAAATTCGGACATTGTCCACGTAGAGCGCGAGGAGGCTGAGCTGCTGGAGGAAGGCGGTGAAGTCGGAGCGATAGAGGAGAGCATGATGAGTGTTTTAGGCACAGAGAGCGAGCTGGCCGAGCTCAGGGAGGAATTCAGGGACCAGACTCCACCTGTTCCAGTGTCAGCCGAGGCAGACTCCACAGCCCCGGCCTCCCTGATTTCATTAGAGGAGCCAGTTGTAATAGAGACGCCTACAAGCTTGTCAGCAGAACCTTCCCTCATCTCCTCAGAACCAGAGCTGCTTCCTCCGGCCCCTGAAGCTGCTGCCCCTTCTCCTGCTGAGCCAGAACCTACAGCACCTTTATCTGTTCCTGCTGTGGAACCAGAGCCTGAGCCAGAACCAGCTGCTGCCACTACACCAGTGCCTACTGAGGTGGCACCCCCATCTCTGGACAAGGAAACCCCTTCAGCACCAGCAGGGCCTGACGCCACACCTGAACCAGCTTCTGAACCAGAACAGGAGCCGGAGCCTGTAGCAGTGCCTCCCCAGCCAGAGGAGCCCCAGCCAGAGCCAGAGACTGCGGCAGAGCCAGCTGTGGCCCCGCTGGCTGCACCCCTGGTCTCGGACGCCACAGAGGCCCCTGTAGAAGCCCCAGCTGAGGAGCCTCCAGTGCAGTCGGAGCCGGTGTCAGAGTTCCCAGTGCTGCTTTATGGAGGTGCTGCACTGGTGGCTCTCGCTGCTGTAATGGCATACGGTGTGCTAAGCTGCAGGAGGAAGTAGAATAGAGAAGTATCTTTCTCAGGGGAGGAGAATTCAAATTACAAGATGTTATGGTAGAAATAAATGTACTAGTAAGCACATGGTGGGACTCTCCTTCCAAATCGTGTTGGCTTTATCAAATGAGGCTAAATTTTTTTTTCTTTGTTCCCTGCCCTGCTTTCACCTCATCCTCATCCACAATCCAATTGCTAAGAGTCCTCACTGCGTCACTCCACCAGGTACAAACATAGAAGGGGGAAAACAATGCACTCCACTCTATTCTTTATTTTCTTCCTTACTTGGAACTGTATGTTTAAATTCTTCAGTCTCCAGCCCTTCATCTCCTAGATTGGAAAGTGTGTGACTTTCATCCCTATCCTTTTAGTTTCTGTTGTGTCTGTGGCTTTACTGTTTGGATTGTTGTGTGCCATTTGAGTCCGTGTTAGCTACATGGAAAATTCACTGACAACACTGTTAGTTGGAGAAAACCTCAAAGTCCACATTTACTCTTGCTGTGTGAATTCAGGTTTTCTTGCACTCTCTCTTTCTATGCAGCAAAGTAGCATCTCTTTATATTTTTTTCCCTCTAACTGTGATGAGATATTCTGATACTTCCTCTGATAAACAAACCAAATGTATGATGGTATGGAAATGAAACCAGTAATTTGATTTTTTATTTGTCAGTTTGAAACCACTTCTGGAAGCAACAACAAAACAGGAATATTGGATACGATTTATGTTCCTTCTTTCCATGTTGCACAAAGGATTTCTATCACTTTACATGCAGCATGTTTTAGTTTTGTGAATTGAAACATTAGAAAATGATGTGCAAGGATGGATTTAAGTATTTGAATGTCTCCTAAGGTAAAGTACTGCTGCTGCTCTGCACACTTCAGGGTCCGGAGTCATTCTTTTGCCACCATCAGTATGTAAATCTGAAAATATTGTGAAGGCCCAAAAAACTGTCAATGGATTTTTCAATTTTTTAAAGATACCTTGATTTTTTTGGGTTGCCTATAAAAAGTCCTTGTGTGAACTGCACTATAACTTGTTTGCATTGAAGAGGAATGTGTCAGCCACTGCTTATGCTTACCATGCCAAAGTGAGCAGTATTACTCCAGATCAGGAGTGAAGTAGGAATGTAACTGCAGCGTGTGAACTCAGTCTTCCCTTTAATGAAAATCTATTTCATGGTTGAATTTACTGGATGGGCAGCTCCCCACTTAAATCACCTTTTCTGACCGGCGAAGTCGTCAGTATTTTGCCCTGTACTACTGTTTCTATTACTGACTCATGCCACAACTTAACGATGGCTTGTGAACCTGTCACTGTTTTTTTTTTTTTTTTTATTAGTATATCAACTCTACACTCTCCTTGGTGTAGAGGTAGTAGTTCACTGTGAGGTGTTGAAGGCAACAATCAGCTCTTTAGCGACAATCAAAAAATTATCAACCTCTTTCACATAAAGAACGCTGTAACGAAGATTTGAAGTTCTGAAAACAAAAAGGTTGAAAGCCCTCACTGCTGCCACCACACAATTTAAATACTTTGAGGATTTGGGGTTGTTGTTGTTGTAAGTTGTACCACCATGAGAATTCATGAATGGCTGTTAGAATATGGCATTGGACAGACACCGTCTTCTTTGATGCAGAAAGGATGTTTCCATGTATGTCTCAGTATTACACATTGTAATACCCACAGACTCAAACTACGCCTGCTTTCAAAGGGAAACTGTTAAAGTACAGAGCAGGATGGATGTCAAAAGGTCCTGACCGCGACACTTTGTACCTTGACTTTCCTACATTACACTGTTTGAAATAATAATAAAAAGATTAAACTATTTGAGCAGCTTTCTGTGGTCGTTTGTTAAAATGCTTCAGTGTGTAAATTTCAATTTTACAAACTTAATGTTTATAGGATACAAAATAAAATCTAAAAGTATTTATTTTATGATTGAAAGTAAACTTAAATCCCAGGAATAACACTGTTTATTTGTTCCAAGGTACACAATATACTGGCTACATTCATATACCAAATATAAAACTGACTGAATACAATCATGTATTTCAAGTATGGAATGAAAAGATACTCTTTTAAGCAAGACTTAAGATTAAGCATTAAGATTCAGAGCACATAAAGTAATGAAAAGCTTCAAGTGTCATTAACTCAATTTTCAATTTCCATTTTACAAAATTTGAAAATCAAATGATTCGTTATCACTTTCCTTTAGTTTGAAAAGTGTCAACACAGCTCCTTTCACAGTTGGACTGGTCATGAGGAGCAGGTGTCAGTTTCGGAATACGCTGTTCTTTCTCTGTTATTTCCTCTCAGCCTACGGTTCAAGAGTCACTGGGTACTTCTACAGATGTACTGCAGTGCAGTGTTGAAGAGGTGTTTCAGAAACCGTGGGGCCTGCTGACACACTCCCTTCACCAGGGTGAGTGTGAGGGCCATAATGACTTGCTCATGGGGTAGATGCTGTGGGACCCTGATGTGCCTCATAACCCACTCCACTTCCTGGGAAAGGTAGTTATTCCACTGCTGAGATACAAATAACAGAATGCAGAGTTTAAAATAAATCACTCACGGTTTATCATAGTGTTTTATAGCAGACATGGGTTACCTTGCTGCAGACAAAGACTACCACACTGTTATGAAATCAAATTAACCTTTAATTAAACATTACCTGCCAAATAAAAAGAGCAGAGGCATCATTTAATACAGCAAATGTTATATATACATTAAATGAGTGTATAGCTATTATTTAGCCCATCATCTACAAACTAAAAAACAAGCTGTGTCAGTACCCAAGTACCTCAGACAAATTATGGCAGATTAATAGTGTTCTTGGGCCAAAAAGCAAAACATTTGTGGATTATCATTTAAATCATCAGTTTAAACTCTTGTAGTATGTCATGGGACATTGCGCCTGTCACAAAAATTAGGGCATGACAGCAAATGCTTGCTAAGACGACTACTCAGTGATAAGAGAAGTTTGTCCTAGTTATTACAGATAATGGCCATCATATAATTTACAATTCATAAATCCCCTATGCTCAGAGCAGACTTACTTCATAGTTGGAGGCTGATATTCTTCTTCTCAGGTTCACAGTAGCCTGAGCCACAAATTCACGCTCAAACTGGTCTGCGATTTCTCTCAGCTCTATTGCAACCTGCTGAGGGGCTGCTGCAGCCTCATGGTTTCCTACTGGAAAACAAGATTGCCCAAACATCAGTATACTTGAGTCAACATAATGTTTAATGTCTCTGGATTCAACAGGGAAATTAAAGAAAGTTAAGTTTCCATAAGTAAACATACAGCAACAAGACTTATATATATATATATATACACACACACATATACAGCTGTCTCTTCCTGCTTTCACTTTGAGTCACAAGTTCCTTTGTTACTGTCACTGAGAACAGCCAGAGTGCTTTAAGGCTGCAATACAGTGGGATAACTTCTATAATATGTGGGTCAACGTGTATTAAAGTACAGATTTGAGTCTGTAAGTGGATTTATTTTTGATACATCCAGCCAAAGTTTTGCTTTGAGAACAATCAGCCACAAACAGAGAAACGTGAAACAGCTGATGTGATGACAGAGTTTGTTATGATACTATGAAACTAGCTGTAATGTCACAGTTTGAACTTAGTTTAGTTTCAGTTACTCACTAGGCCACTGATGTTCCACCGAAGGCTCAATATCATTTAGAAAGCCTGAGAAAGAGCTGACCGGATGACCATCAGTCTCAAGGTCACCATCGTCCAGGGTATGTATCCTGGAGCCATTGCAGTTGATGTCCCGGGTGAGATTTAATCCCGTGCCCAAAGAATGAAGCTCCTTGTTGTAATCTACGTTGCAACAGTCTGCTTGAAGGAAGGCCAAAATGACCAGGGCAGTGTTTTGACCACCACTCGTATTCAACAGCTCGTCCATTGTTGAACACTCTCGGCCTTTGTAATTTAGACAACAACAATGAGAGTAACTGCTCGTGTTCATTTGATTTATAGCAAGTCAACCATGTCGGAAAAACTGAAGTGTTGAGATTAACATTGCTAACCCCAGTCAAAAGTTCCATCAAAGAGAAAAGTGACTGAAGAAAAGTAACTTAAGTAGCGGACTCATTTCAACTAAGGATACTTAAACATTCATATCATTTATCATTCACAACCACGTACCATGTGAACAACGGAAGTATCATTTCCATGTTTCAGTTGGCTGTCTAGCTAGCTCGAAAGCTAAGCTAACGTTAACTTTCGAGCATCGAAGTTATCGTTAACATTACGCAAAAGCAAAATTACTCATTTTACTCACATTCGTTACTTGTGCCACATACGTTAGCTCTTCACTTCACACAAACAAATGGACTCGATTAGCGATGCGCCATAGATCACCGACCACTGTGCAACAAGCAGCAGATCTAAACAAACAGCAGCTCCTCAACTACATTGAAATGCGACGGCGGGTTGGTGGAGGGGGGGGGGGGGGGGGGGGGGGGGGGGGGGGGGGGGGGTTGGATCGTCCAGTGTATCATGATGCATTCAAAAACCGTCGGATATTCCAACATCCAACACTGCATTGCCATTTGATAGGATATTCGCTTCGATGAGCCCGCACATTAACCAAACATAAACCTCAGGACATCAGAAAACCACAATGGAGAGAGAAACAAGTAGCCAGCTGGAAGAGATGTAAAATTAAAATTTTCCTAAAGTTGGCAATGCATACGAGAGAACCTACAGTATGTCCAACTCATCTTTACTTAATTATAGCCTCAACATTTTTTATTTTTTTTTATTTTTAACTTTATGAACCAAGTTGATAATAGTAACGTAAGCGATTGACGGTCATGTGACTTTGGATAACTTTAGCGATATGACCCGTTTGCGAAAATTACTTCAAGGACAAAGAACTTTAGCAGAGCAGTAAAGTAATAATTAATAATGTAATCATGTGACCTGCATTAAAAGAAAACCAAATACAACGTGACGGCCCGTTCGTAGTTGCGGTTTCACACTGGCACAGACAGATCGCCGCGGTTATCGACTTCACTGGAAAGTTGCTGGAAAGTCCCTGCTTTGGATTTGTCTGACGATGTCAGACACAAGATAACAAAGAAATTAGAAAAAAAGAACCCCATCTGATAAAATGCTTAAAAATGTTTATTTACAATAAAAATGATATATAAAATAAGTCAGGTCAGGTACATTGGTCTACAGCAGTTACAAGATGTTGTGACATGCATTGAAACCAGATTAATCCTTTCAAACCAATGGTGTCAAGGACTCCACAGTCTTTCAGTTACATCTGTCCTCTCAGAAGGCACATACAAGATTGTCCGTCCAGTCATTTCAACTTCCAGTCCCTGTGTAGAAAACCTTGTCACTTGCATTTTTACCACAAGCTTGCTTCAGGAGTCACATTATGCAGTGTCAAGGACCGCATACAGGTCCCACATTGACCCATCACACTCCATATCCGGGACAACCAAAGCTCATGGATCGTGCCGTCTTCCTACCAACAAGCCTCCTCCCTGTTCTGGGTAGAGAGCCCATCTTGGCAGGAGGTTTCAGCCCAAGAGAGAGGTTCTGCTTGGGTGATAATGCTGCCTGACGAGCTTCCTGGAGCTCTCTGTGTTGAGGGAAATGGAAACGACTGACTTCAACATGTTATTATTTAAATGACCAATATATTAACTTTATAAAATGAAGTTAAATTAAATGGAAAGAGTAGGAGTTTGTAGTCATACAGGTTTGCAGAACAGTCATTAGGTTGTTTTCAAATAAATGAAATTACACCCCCTGCTGGTCATATTTATGTAATTCAGGCTCTAATAGAGCTTCAGAATTAGGCTTACATTTCCTTACATTTCACTTAACATGCATTGCAGATATCATGTGAGATTTTTCAGCAGTATAAAGTATTTCATAATTACTCCAACACACTATGAAGGGGTAAAGTCTTACACAAATTTATTGATATGCAAAAAAGTGTATAGGTCTTTGACTGGTTATTCCTGGTCACATTTTGTGGTATAACACTAGAAAGGTGTGAGAGAGTCTAATTCTTTCATCCACTGATTGCTGAAGAGTTGTAGCCTGCAGCCCAGAATTACTGATGCAGATTTAATTATCCTTTAATTATCCCTTCTTACTTTTCAAGCATGGCTGTCCTGAACTTCTCTACATTGAGCTCTCTGCGTAGCTGAGCAGCTAGCCTCCCAGTCCTCTCCTCCCTTAAGACTGTGTGCTTGCACAGCTCCCTGGCAGATGGACGTTTCAGCGGGTCTGGATCCAGCAACAACTGAAAGAAAAAATGTCAACAAGCTACTGTTTACCAGTGAGGACTGAATTTAAGTGTTTTTGGTATTATATTAAAATTGACATTCATGGGTGGCAGCTCAAATCAAATTTCTTTAATTAAATACCTGGAGTAGGTCTCTCAAGGGAGGAGAGAGCTCCTGTGGCAGCTTGGGGAGCTTCCCCTCTCTAAGGCTGTGCCACTCCTCTCCATTTTGAGGCAGAGGAGGAGCCCCAGCTGCCAGCAGCACCGTAAGACCCAGAGCAAAGATGTCTGCCTTGGGGAGGTGGCTGTAATCCTGGGGAGCAGAGAGACTGCTTACATAGATGCTAGAAAAAAAACGCAAATAAAGACTTGATCTATGAATTTGTAACCAGCTCAGACTACAAAACTACTTGTTTTTTTTTATTGTTTTTTTTTAAATAAAATCAATGATAAAAATCTAACTGGCACAGATTTTTTTTACCTCATGCAGAACCTCACTGGCCAAAAAGCGGCTATCCCCTTCCTCAACTTGTGGGCTGCTGGTTGATGTCACGTGACCCAGATCCCCTGCAGAATAAAACAAGAATCAGAACTAACAGCAAACAAACTTTGAAGGTAGTCATTTATTTTAACATCAAATGTAATACCAATTTTATAAACGACTCCTGCTGAAGTGCTTCCATCATCTTCCTCCTCACTCTCACCCTCAACCGCTGCAGTTGTGCTGAGTCGCTGGCAAATGAATATATTACCTACAGAGAGATGAAGAAATTAATTGAAGAAAAAAAAAAGTAGAAGGGATGTTAGGTTTAGACAGAACAAAATAATAAATGCAAAGTGAAAACTGCTCCATGAGACATACTTGGTTTGATGTCCAAGTGCACTAGGCCTGAGCTGTGGATGTATTTTAGACCCATTGACACTTGTAAGAGGAGATCTTTCAATTCTGCCCCTGAAAACAGCTCACACTGCAGCTGCTTCGTCACAATGGCATCACTGAGACTTCCACCTGGCACACACACGCACGTATACACACAGGATGACCGTATTAAACCACAATTCAATGCCTTACTTAGAGATATTTAGAGTAAACTTTACTATTATAATGTGCTTTTGATTTAAAAAAAAAAAAAAAGGGAAACTTACCATCACAGTATTCATTCTGAATAATCATGTGATCGTCCTCTGCCCATGCTGAATAATAGCGAACAACATGTGGGTGGTGCCCAAGAACAGCATGTGCATACACTTCCTTTAGGGCCAACTGCCTGAAAGGATATATTAATGGTCATGGATAAATTCAGGAACCAAATATAAAAAATAGGACTGATTTTGCCTGATAGAGAATGACATGCTGCTGACTCACTCATTGGCAGAGCCTGCGAGGGGTCGGCGAGAGCGTTTTATGGCATATAAGCAGCCATCCAGCCTCTTCACACACTTATAAACTGCCCCGAACTCGCCCACGCCAATGCACTCCAGCTCCAGGAACTCACTCTCGTAGCGTGACAGCATGAAAGCTTGGACAGCTCGCCTCTGCCAGATAAACAGACGGAGGGCCTTGTGGTAAAACCAAAGACATTTCTAAAGAAAGAACACGCGTCACAGCCCTCAGTCTCGAGTTTACAGCCAGGAGAACCAGGGTTTCTCTTTGATGCGTCACCAAATATGGTAGCGCTTCCACAATGAAAGTGTTTTGTGAAGATTCTGACGGCTTTTTTTTTTTTTTCCCCTTCTTTGGTGGAGATTCCTTAGAGAAATCCCGGAAGTAGAGCTGGCAGCATGTCATTTTGGACAAAATAATGAGTGAGGAGGCAGCAGAAGATGACAAAGCCTGATGATGAAATCATATCAGAGGCATCTGAGAGGGAGGGTTACATTCACCAGAAAGCACAGATAAAAATAGTTGTACCTTTGGTGGGAGAAAGGCCTCGTCATCCTCCTCGGATGACGTTAGGCTGTGTTTCAACCTGAAAGATGAAAGGGGCCTTTAGACATTTATATACTTTGAACTAAACTACACTAGTAAGGGATTTAAAGTCGGGCCCACAGTATGTGTCAGGGCACTAAATCAGTAAGGAACCATTTCAATCCCCACCACGTTAGAAAATCAATTTCACCCTTAGTGGATTGTGGTGGGAATCTACCTGCCAGGAAAGAAAGTGTTTGTTTATTAAAAAAAAAAAAAAAGAAAAACTCTTAGGGTGACAAGTACACCATAATACGAAATTGACAAACTTCCCTGTAATGTGAGATGTTCTAAAACACACATGTGGGCAGTTTCCCAAACATCAGAAATCCTCATCTGTGATTGAAAATGTCGAAAAATACTAGTGTTTACAACTCATACCCTTACAGACCTACAATATCACAACAAGTAGCAGTTACCTGCGTCCATAGTCATCATCCTCATCACTCCTACAGCTATTCCTCCACTGCTCCTCACTGTTCCTGCGTACAGTGTCAGGGGTGAAAGGATTCACGTTGACAGAAGGTGCCTGGATGAGGTTTGCAGCAGCTGAGGTGAGACGCAGGGTCCTCCGATTGTGATTTATCTTAGAGGTGGAGCAAGGGTGAGAGGACTTTGAGAGCAGACTCTGCAGGCGGAAAAAAAAAAAGAGAAATGCAATTTAGCCCAGTGAACTTAAAACAGGTTTTGACACTTTGATAAATCATCCAAGATCACAGGGGCGCAATAAGGATAATCAGTTTTTAATCATTATTCCCCACCTTGGGCGTGCTGGGGGAGTCACAGAGCCTCAGTTTACTCCAGACAGCATAAGGTATGGGGCTGGTGCACTGTAAAGGGGAAGATATGATGTTGCTTCTGCTGCTCTGGTGTTGGACCCTGGGTGTTCTGCATGCAGAGCTGGGACTTTGGATCCTGGGACTTTGGATCCTGGGACTTCGGATCCTGGGACTTCGGATCCTGGGACTTCGGATCCTGGGACTTCGGATCCTTGGGGCGCAGTCATCGGAGCTGTTTTCACTGCTGTTCCCCTCTTCTCCACAGCTAGAGAAGTCCAGCTGCTGGCTGATCCCATCAAACAACGTCGCCATGCTTGGAATTTTGGCAAAAGTTTCCATTAAAATGCTTAATCCTGCATTTGACTGCTCTTAGAGAGCAAAACCACCATGCTGATGATAACTACAATGTTGATTGTTGTTATGCTTTAGATTATTAGGCCTGCATTTAATTGTCCTTGGGAAGATAATGGAGATTATAGGAAATTGACGACATGTTGCTAATTAAACTCCCAATGAATAAATCAGCAGGCCTACATGTATCCACTATGATAGGTCACTACTATTAGCTCCTTGCTGATTTCCACTACCACAACACAAGACCCATAATTTAATCAACAAGTCAATATTACTTACTGATTAACTTTTTAGGCCATTCTTCCGACCAAATCATGCAGGACAACTGAAAAGCAGCACCAGTAAAGCTGTGACGTTATTCTCAGACTTATCTGAAAGTTAAACAGATGCTTCACATTGTTGTCATTAATTTACACACCAGTGTGTGATCTGACTTTGAGTTAATGTATGTTTATCATGTATATACTCACGAACGAGTGGCCTCAGGCACTACCACACTCACCACGCTTGAATTTCGCGCCTTGTATGTAAATAACTTCCTGTTTAAATAAACTATGCCGCCTGCTTAACACATTGAGCTCTCTGATTGGCTGAAATGTTCCTAAACAAAACACCTGACTTTAAAGTGGCTGTTAATTGCATAAACACTTTTATGCAGTTACCATAACAATATAATCATCTATGTATGTAATGATATATATGCATACTGTGGGATTATCGTGAGAAAACTAAATTTATATGAAGATAAAATAAAATATCATGAAAATACAGTGAGGGACCTTGGGAATGAGGTTGTGTCACACAGATTAATGGGTAAAACATTTGACGATGTTCAATATGAATGGTCCAATAATATGTATGGATAAAATAAATAGCCCATAACCAAAATTAGGTCACTGTATTAAATAGTAATATAGACACGTGGGCGGAAGTTAGCGACGTCATCAAAACAGTGAGACAGGAGGAGGAAAAGCAGCCCGTCAGTGGATGTGACACGCTTACAGATCCATAGAAAACAACCCAGCGAGCAGCAGCAAACCATGATCCAGCTCCAGCAGCGTGTTTAGCCTGCTCAATTCAGCCGGACGTCGGACTTTCTGTGTTATTTCTCTTCCTACCCGTATCATCAGAGGCAGCAGCGCAATGGTGGAGCAGTCGGATCGAGCCCCACTGCTGGACTGGGAGGAGATCCCACCGCCCGATCCGAACCAGGCGGGCCCGCCGCCGCCTGCGCCGCCGCGGGAGGAAGACGCTCCGGCGGAAAAAAGTTCGCAGCCAGTCGGGCGGCGCACACAGACGGGCACTGCGGCTGGTACTGGGTGGAGCAGTAGCAGTAGCAGCAGCAGCGACAACAGCACCGCCACCGCCACCACCACCATCACCTGCAGCCCGTCTAGGAGTGTAACAGCTGTTGTTGCCAGCAGGGACGGAAGCCCCGGCCGTCCGCGTACAGATCTCCGTGGGCACGGGTGGACTCGCCCGGAGCCTCTCGGCACAGATCGTAATGTTCACTTCCCCGGCCTCTCGGTGAGGGATCAGTGGGAGGAAAAGGACCAGATCGTGGCTGTGTTTGTGGTTACCTTTGATACGAGATCAGGTAAGCATTCAGGCAGTAGCAACAGCGTACTCTTTCATATTTCAAATTCTCAGATAACCACACTTCCTGAAATGATATTACCTCAGGACATATTGTTATTTTCTAATGTCATTTTCTTCCGTCCGATGTGCTTGAGTGCGTTATTGAGTCATGGGGTTGAAGGATGAATATACAGTTAGAGTTGTCAGCTGGGGTTGTAAAAATGTGAAACGCCAAGATCCACCTAAACACTGTGGATTCACAAGACACGGTGGTGAAATAGCTGTAATTCTGTTGGGGCAACCCTAACAAAAGAAGTGAACTTCCTTGGTCTGGTTTTTCAGTTTTTGCAATCTGTCAAAAAGCTCATGCAAGAGCAACAGTAAAACAACTGAAGCCCAAGATGCTCTTGGGGGGGGGGGGTAGTGTAGAATTTCATGCAAATGTATTATGTGTATCCAAATAATTAAAAATAGACAGATATAAAATCAATAGTCAGTCAAATAAGGAAGAGAACAAGGCCAGGATGTCAGTGGTTCAGCTTCATATGGAAGAGGTCAGTGTTTTGATAGTTGCAGTAGCTGTATCTTACTGTCCCATGTTCTTTCTTGCCACTATAAACAGACTTAGAGAATTCAAGGAAGTGGTCAGAATGAAAGTAAGGGAAAAATGGGAAGTAATCTCATGATTTATTTTTGTGTGTTTGTGTGCGTGTGTGTGTGAACGGCAGGGAATATGGTAGAGTGGTGCCTGCCTCACGACATCAACCTAGATGGAGTTGAATTCAAGTCAATGGCCAGCGGTTCCCATCGGATCACCAGTGACTTTATGTACGTACTCCCTCCCACCAGTCAAACACCAAGAAATCCAGTGTAGTTTTTTTTTTTTTTTAGAGGAGTGGGTTTGTTAAATCCCTGTCAGAAATCTGTACCTCTGTGTTTACTCCTGCTCTTTGTTTTGCCTTTGGCTAGATATTTCCGTAAAGGCTGTTACTTCGGGCTGGCCTGTTTTGCTAACATGCCTGTGGAGAGTGAGCTGGAGCGAGGAGCGAGGATGAAGTCTGTGGGAATCCTGTCTCCCTCCTACACTCTTCTCTACCGCTACATGCACTTCCTGGAGAACCAAGTCAGGTGCGATAGCAGTGTGTGCAAGTTACTTTTTCTGCATTTCTTATTGTGTCACCCTTCCTTTCACTATTTGTGTTCTGTTTACCTTATTTATCTCTCACCCAACCATGTTTACAAGTTTCTCTTTGTATGTCTACGTCCTGTCCTTGCTTCTTTGTTTAAAATGTTCTCATCTATTAAACATGAACCCAGAGTCCTAGTTACAGCTATCGTCACAGGAGCCCATTTACATGCAGTTTTTGTGTATGACGTCTTAAGCACAGAAGTGGAAGAAACCTTGACAGCGTCTTTCTCCTCAGTAACTCAGCCCTTCTGCTTCAGTCCTCTCACGAAGCCTAATCTCCTCATTGACTATGTATAAATATATAACAGCCACCACTTCAGGTTACAAATACAAAGGGATGAGGATACTCCCGAATACAAGTGCATCTGAATTCATCTGTATGGAGTGTGACTATCCGGCCTTCAGATTATGTGAGGTTCCTGTGGCTTTACAGTCACTTTGCAGTAGCACACAGATGGTGTGAGAAATGAAGCATGAAAGGTTGAAGTGGTTAAACCAAACTGAAAAGAGGTATTTATGTAGTGGCCTCACATGATCCCACAATGCAATGTCAGAACAAGTGATGGACACTAACGGAGTGCAGTCTGTAATCTTGCATTATGGATGACCTAAATAGCTTCTGGTACCGAATGCACAATTTCCTCCACACAGACGTACGTTACGTTTACAGTGTGTAGCAAACAGTGAGTGAGTGTACATGCAAGTCTCTAAAACTCATGATAGAGCAATACTGACAGATGATGAATATGCAGAAAACTCACAACTGAACAGAAAATAACATGTGATTTAATTAAATGCACATTTAGCAAGATTAATCTGCTTAGTGATACAAATCTGAAAATGCTGAGATGGCTCACACTTGATAAATTCCTCTTCCTCTCCCTCTTGTCTTATAGACACCAGTTGCAGTGTCCAGGCCAGTATTCTCCACTGGAGGCCTTCTATGAGGATAAGAAGGCAGTTCTTCCACCTATAGGAAACGGCCTGGTCACTGCTTGTCCAACCTGGAGTGTTACCACCATCAACCGCTGCATGCACCCAGAAATGAAGGTCCGAAATTTACTGGAACACACATATGTTGTTTCGTGTTTTCTCAGTCTTGAGTGCCATAAAACAACAAAAAACTAACTGTTTTTGTCACTATTTGCTCCCTGCAGATCACCCATCCAGCTGGCTGCATGTCCCAGTTCATCCAGTTTTTCGGGGAGCAGATAATGGTGCTGTGGAAGTTTGCACTGCTTAGGAAACGTCTTCTCATCTTCTCCCCTCCTCCTGTAGGTGTTGTCTGTTACAGAGGTGAGTAGCTTAAATACATACACACACACACACACACACACACACACACACACACACACACACACACACACACACACAGTCTGCCAAGTAATCTGGTGGTTGTAACACAGATTCTGTTCTTGTTACTCTTTAACACAAATGGCACAGGATGTAATAAATATGCTAAAGGTTGCAACCAAAGTGTTTCTTTGTTTTTTTGTTTTGTTTTTTTATATATCTCCATGGAGATGATTCATTCAATATGCACTTCTTTGCATGCTCCTGTAGTGTATTGCTGTTGCTCCCTGGCCAATGTGTCTCTGCCTGGAATTGGTGTCTCTGTGCCTGAATTACGGCCTTTCTTCTACATCAACATAGCCGACATCACTGCCCTGGAAACGGAGATGTCATACGTGGCCTGTGAGTGAGGTTTTACTGCTAATAGTTAATTTACCACCATTGTTCGTTCATTTATATAACTTTTGTTTTTTTTGTGAGTAGCATAAAAGGATGACATCTGTAATTTTTTTTATACAATGCTGTGTTGCGTAATGATAATCCAATAGAATCTTGAATTTCTAATCTATGGAAATAAAGAATTATATATGAACATATGTTTATGTGTTTTAAGGTACCACAGAGAAGATTTTTGAGGAGAAGAAGGAGCTATACGACGTCTACGTTGATAACCAGAATGTGAAAACGCACAGAAGCCACTTGCAGCCGCTGCTCCGACTGAATGCGGCTGATAAGGAGAAGTACAGGAAACTGAGTGAACAGAGGTACAATAAGAACTGTAAAATACTGCTGAAATAGCATTATGTTTATTGTAAAATGAACTGTACCAGAATTTAATCAATTACAGTTAGGTTCTTGCATTAAAATTTGAGAAATGATTCATTTTGATCCATTAGTTTTTTTTATGATGATGGATGATGACTGTTTTTTCGCAGACAAATGTTGCTGTACTCTCAGGAGGTGGATGGAGACTGCACGTCAAATGAAGAGGATCTTTTCATTCTGTGAGTCCTTGACGTGTATTCATTGTCGTCAGTGTACTTGAGTCATAACCACAGACAGTTTGTTTAAGGAGAGTATGCTTTGATCATTTTAATGTGATGCAGAGGAACACAGCATGATGTGGCTGTCTTTAATCCCGTCCTAGGTTCTTCATGGAGCTGAATAACCGCATCTTCCAGACCCTGTCAGATGTAGCAGGGAGCACTGATCCCACCCTAACCACTGAGCACGTGAGAGCCATGGGGCTGGATCCCCAGGGCGATCGCTCCTTCCTGGTTGACCTGCTGGAGGTGTACGGTATCGACGTCACCCTGGTCATAGACAACCTTTGTTGCCCCTGAACCACGCCCACCCACCACCACCACCACCACAGCCTGGGAAACTCGGGATGTCACTGGATTATCTGTGCCTTCAAGGCCCACACACACACACACACACACACAAACACACACACACACACACACACACACCAAGACACTGAAGACACTGCCACCACCCTAGGGCTTCATCTGTTGCCTGCTGTCCCCTCCTGGGTGTCTGTTTCCCCTCTGTGTGTGTCTCATCTGACCTGCGGAGACTGTTTCCAACCAGCGTGGGTGATAAGGACACTTAAGGTTGGTGCACTGGTCCACGGTGGATGATAAACACCTGCCTAGCAGACAGTGCAGCTTGGCAGCTTTGCGCTTTTGTAGCCATTCACATCCTATATCACACTGTGCTGTTTTTTTTTTTGTTTTTTTTGTCAGAAATACTGTTTTCTTGTGTGAGCTTGTCTGAGTTTGATTCTGGCATTAAGAGGCCAGGCTTTAAGCACTGGATGAAAGCATAAAAAGTTGTTATCAGGTGTGGTCATTGCAGCAGGATGACTGATCGTTCTCATATCAATGAAGAAAGTCAGTGATACATTCACAATCCTGCAGCTCTGGTGATCACTTTTTTTTTTTTTTTTTTTGAAGAAAAGATCTTTATGATTTGGAAAAGTCGTAGAAGTGAATTAGTGTCCTTCAAGTTTCATTCAGTAGACATTCTAGCCTCCATGATATGTGACAACTTCCCTGCTGTAATACCATATTTAGGTGTACGAATAATGTGTCTTGCTCTCGTGAAAGCTACTTCTGGAGTTTGAAAAATCAAAGCTTTTTGACCACTTTATTTGCCTTTTCAAAAAGAAAGCAATATGAGTCTGTGTTGGTTGAAAGTTTTGGCCTTTTTAATGTATATTCAACCTCACAGTCATATGCTTAGTGTTTCACAGCTGAAAGTGAGAGGTGAGTTAAAACTGAAACATGTTGAGTGTGATAACCTCTTTTTATAATGGGTAGGGTTAATTATTCTGACGGGAAAAGCTGTTATAGATATATAGTTCATGTGTATGCACCTTCAGCACGAGGTAGATCTGATAATGTGTCTCTGGTCACAGTTTAAGGGAAGTGATTTGGAGAGGAGGAGGGGTTTGTGTTCTGGAAACTTTTTGTCATGTTATTTGTCTAATTTGTCGTAATTGGCAGAGGATTTATAAATGAATGTGACTCTACTGTATAACACTAACTTATCATGAATGCTGCACCATGTCCACCTCTGGACTGTTTCCTGATGCACACAGTGATCATGCTTAACTATGATGTTTTTTTATGTTTATGACTTACAGTCTGAGCCAGCAAGTGGTTGTGGAATGGAGGGGTTTGTGTGTGTGTGTGTGTGTGTGTGTTGTTTGCAATACTGTATACAGGCTTTCATAGATTTTTTTTTTTTTTTTACTCAAACCAGCAGCTGGTTCATCAGTGGAAGCTAATATAATATATCTGTTGTAATCCTGTTGAGTGAAGAGTCCTTGATGGAGCTGTTTGTAGTTTACTTGTTGATCAGCTTCAAAGAGATCCTCTCCAGTTGTCTGTGTCCATGACAAAGATCTCTTTGTGTTTTTGGAGATCTGGTAATGTCATAGTTTGGGGCTGGAGCAGGAGCTTTAACTCCTCCTCTGCAGGCAGATTCACAGAAGGGCCCCCGTCTGTTCCGGCTGAGGGTTTCTCTCATTCTTTTCATCACAGCCCCATTCAGTGAATCCAGCTCTAGAGATGGGCCAACTGTGTCTTTTGAATACTGCTGGCAGACTGGTTTAGTTCATCCATCACATTGCCAATCGGAGTGATAATTTGTTCCATGTTGGAACACATGAGGCTGATGTTTGCCTTGTATAAATTTGTAGTGGTTCTCAGCCTTGTCGTGGGCCCCCCTGATGCAAGCTAAAACGCCAAGTCATTTTTGAAACATATCTTTATCTTCCTCTCCCCGCACATTATTATTGGTGCTGTGTACTGTGTGTAAATACACTGAGAGACACTGGAAACTGGAGTCAAATTCCTCGTATGCACAATCCATACTTGGCCAACGAAGCAGATTCTGATTCTGATCATTTACTGGTAATCACTGAGGAAACAAATATTCCTTTAATTTCATTGTCCTATTCCAAACATGCTCTTTCAGGGTTCTGATCCCCAGGTTGAGAACTGCTAGTTTTATAGACTGTATTGTACAGGATGTTTTCTGCGTTGGTTAAAAAATGAAGAAAGTGCATTAAGTGTTGTATTATGAAAAAAAGGGCACTTAAGCTTTGTTGTTTAAATGAGGCCTTAAGGAAATGTGACTTTCTCAAACTTACTTCAGCAAAGTGACCGACTCTTTACTGTATGTGCGTCAACATTATTTGCTAAAAAGATTAAGTCCATTGTCCTTAGCAATTCTGAATGACCTTACTGTCTCCAGTGAAACCTGTTGACTCTATTTGCTTTTCAGCAGATGTGTTTTCTTGCCTTTGACGGTGTTTGCTTTACAGCTGTATGTTAAATGTAAAAGGGAATGTACACAACACGCACCACTGTATAAAATGCCTTCTTTGTGGGGTCGTTCACTGATGTGTACCAGCATTAGCTAAACGAATCGTTTGTACAGCGTTTGTCACTCTACTGAATGTCAAAGACAGCGAAACAATTGCACACATGCAGCAGCACATCCAAATAGTGTAACCGTTTTCTTCTTGATTGTAATGTAATTCAAGATTATCCACAGAGTAACAGTTAAAGTCTTCACCTTTACTAATGTGAAACACTGTAAGAGATGTCAGTAATGTAAACATGAACTCAATAGCATGAGCAACTGTTAATTTCACTGTACTGCCATTGTAAAACAATAAAACATTGATACAGGTTAAATGCTATCTAATCCTCTCCTTCTAACCATGCATAACTGTTTTCTACCTACACCCCGCTCCTCCCCTTTCGAACCAGCCTCACTGCTTTCAATGCTTTTCCAAAGACACACCTAAAGCACAAAACAGCTGAGAGGATGATCTGGAACAGACAGAGCTGCTCATCTTCCCTTAGCAGAGAAATGGCCCCTGTGTTATTCTACTATGTATTTGATCAATTAATTAATATTACAGCGGCTTCATGTGTAAGCAACATTTTACTGTTGTAGTTGGTAAAGGGTGGAGCTAATTTTACACATAAAGCTCAGTTTATTTATCACGAGGACTTGCCTTGTGAAAAAAGTTGTATATTATCTTCTGTTGCTCTGGAAACAGAAAGCCTATGTCGCTAACATGAAGTGTGGGGTTTGGAAGAGGTCACCATTTAGGGAAGAAAGTGGGGTCCAATTAAAGGTGCTATCCAGTATCCAGTGGAAATGTAGGATTCAGCATTTTGGAGCTTGACTTATATTATGGAGCCTGATTCTGCTATTTTGTATTGTTTTATCTTTTCTAAGATCCTCAGGTGCAATACTAAACGACTGGAGTTCCCCTTTAATCTATAACAATGCATCATTTTTAATGTTTAAACTGAAATTAAATGTATCTTTGTGTTGCCAAGTCTTCATATTCAAAGTAACTAAAGCTGTGACTTACATATAGTAGAGTTAAAAAGTACAATATTTCCCTTAAGTACCTTAAAATTGTACTTAAGTAAATCTACATTCCCTTTTCAGATTTATCCTCCACAATTAATGCGACCAAAATGAAACCGAGAGCATCCCTTAGTGTTTTCCTAAACATCCAAATATGATAAGAGGGCTGCAATGCAGCCACCAGCTTAATCCTGCAGATTTGCTTTCCACGCCATCTGTCAGATCAGATGCAGACTCACAAAGCAGGGCGCCAAACTCCTGCTCCAAGCTCCTGCAACACATTCAGAGTGCTGCGGCATCACTATATTCCTTCATGTTCATCCCTGTAGACTACTTCCCCCCTATCCGTACTCTTTTAAGTCCCAGCAGCTGGTCACATCTTACAACTTTGATTAGCTGTCCTGTCTCTATGACAACCGGTCCATCATGCCGGTCCTTTCTCCTCTCCCTTAAGGTCACCTCAGTGGAGGAATGAGCTTCCCGACTCAGTGAAAACAGCAGCACTCTTCTCATTTTCTAACACAGCCCTGACAGAAGTTTTTATGTCACACCTTCACCTGCAGCCCTCCAGCAAAACCCCCTGCCCCTTATCTCAACCAGGCATCTGCTGAATGTGTACGCACTAAATGTCACGCCGGTATGAAAATGCCTTGCATTGAATTGGACAGATTATTTTTTATTGACCAAGTTCAGATATGATGGCAACAGTAAACAATTCAGTAAACATAAAATCCATTTGTAAGACAACCTGTACATGAGTTACAAGCTTAGAGAATCAAAGTCTTGGTCCTTTCACATACAACAGCCTGTAATATATTCCTCTCCATGGTTGTTAAAAATAACAACAACTGAATATTTCATGTCAACATGTAGTAAAACAGATTGTTCAAACCATCAGCACTCCATGATCATTTACAGCTGATGGCAAAGCAGAAATCTGTTTTCAAAATAAACTCAGTTTCATAGCATCAGTTTTTTTTTGTGTGTTTCTTTTAAAATCAATCCTGCTGCTCGTCTTCTTTGAAGTTTTACATTTTAGGTTTTCTCATCACTGCGTCTGTGAGAGGAGCTGCTCCTTGCGCTCTGTACTGATGAAGAAGCGTAGTTTCCGTGGCAACAGCCTTACCTCCACAGGCATAGCGTCATACTCCTCGTTGTCGATGTTGAAGAAGCCACCGGCACCCTTCGGAGTCAGGACACAAAGTTAAATGTCAAGACAAAAGCCAGTACACTGCTTCAGAAAGCCGATTGACTTATAAAGTAAAACTGATAAAATGAACCAGATAACATCACTGAAAGGGTTTCTTACCTCTGGCAGCTGCAGCTGGCAAGCACTAGCTTCGAGTTTTGTGGAGTTTTTAGTGAATACAGTTGAGTCCTCTTCTTTTTTATTTCTAGAATGAACAAGATTTACATTCTGTTACTGAAATTTGCATAAACATGAACTTTT